TACGAATTGCAATCATTCACTGTTGTTACTTAAGTCCCTGCTTGACGCCTAGTTATAAACCACCTCGAAAGCCTAGAGCACTTCCACGTGATCTAGACGGCAACCTCGTAACATACTGAGGGAAGTTAGAGCTACGCTCCATGATACTAGCATCGACGCCTGAATTTCATGCTAGATAACTGCAGTATACCTTTGCCTAGCTCGAGAATATGATTAAGCGAAGAGTATTGTCCACTTCGCATTTGCCCTGTGACTGCCGAAGACCGTGTAGCGAACATACTAGGTCCTGTAAGCCCAAAAATACCCTTCAAAGATCAGGAGCTGTGAGGCTAGAAGAAAAATGTGGGTAAAAGAGTATAACATGAATGAAAGGAGAGTAACAGAAGGAGCAGGTGAACCTCGCCTACCCGCCGCTTAGATGCTGTGCAATAGCTTGTTGGCAACTGGACTGTGCTCGCAACAGCGCATATGCAGACCAAAGTACATCGCAGCAGAAGATCTGGAAATGGCACACGGCATTTGTCTCTTACTCTATCATTTGTCGAAATGGAGGTATTGCAGGTGGATTGTCTAGACAGCCACTTCCTTGTAGACCGTACAGTCGATCATATGTACCATCATTTTAACATTAGTAGACCCATCATAATAAAATGGCAATAGATGAACAGATCAGCTAAAAGATATTGCAGACATTATTCTTGGTAGTCTGTCTATTCTCCTATTATTTCATCCACCAGCCCATGCATCTAGGAGCATCATTGAATGATGCTTTAAGCCATGATAATCATATATGTCGCTGGTAAGAGCCAAAGGCTATTCTCATCCCATCGACACACTTTGCCGCGAAATTTCTCCACTTCCGAGTTATCAATAGATCAAACATGATGTGAGAGCTTCATTGTAGCAATAGCGATGAGCTCTAAATATAGTAGCATATAACGCAAAGAATCCTTCCGATACGGCACAGCACCAACCGCAGCTGTTATCGCTACTAATGACATGATCTTTTCTTTGGAAGAAAACAAATGTCACTTGAATCATGTGAATCGTAGATATTTACTGTTCATATGCATGTCTGTAGTATTTGACATGTGCCAACGCTGCAGAAACTTTTCATATTGATGGGTGCATTCGAAACTAATCATTACTGGATGGTACCAATATATTCGAAGGATTCGATATTGTACTCGATACCCGCCCGGAAGAAACTCTTGAAGAGGAAAATTAATAATCATAGGTACAGACACGGATGAAAGATACAAGACTGCAGGACAAAAAGCATAATATATTTGTTTCAATACATACAACATTATGGACATGGATTCTCCACACTTGTGACCACAGACCTCGAGAAATGGAGAATGATGTATTGAATTGATTATAGACAAAGAGCACGGCAGAGGGATGATTCTGTTAGCGCCGTCGTGGTCTTGACAGCGGCCGGTAAGTCTCCATGGTTGGGATGTTGAGATAGGACCCCGAGAAGAACCACTTCTTTAAGCCGTGCGGGTACGTGCTGAAAATAGTATATTGCTAGATCTGAAGATGACGTGCATTTATCAGTTCGTGCGAAATATTGACGATTTACAGTCAAGCGTCACACATGGCGTTTAGGATGTCTTTTCGGGAGGTCGGTGTTGGTTGTTGGTTGCAATGGAAGAATGAAAGGTCCAAGCACGTGCATAATATGTAACGCTTGGAGAACTCTAAGATGCTTGTGGTCTAATTACAACAGCGATGATGGGTTAAATACAGGTGCGAAATTGGAGTTGCTTGGTCATTATTGACTGTGCTTTATTTAACTAACTAGATCTTGCTCAATGTAAAAGGTCGGTTCAATCGTATTCAAATATTGAAGCCATCATCGAAATCTGAGCATGGATGACTAGCCGATTGAGAATCTGAGATTGGTGGATTTGATTCAATCCGTCCACATCCAACGGTCACACCCGGACAGAATGTGCGAGTCGGTATTCCCGACCTTCACGTACACGAGTCAATGCCTCCATCAATAGCTTTTATGGATGGTAGGAAGGCTCAGTAAAGATGTGTGGTAGGGTTTACTTGTTTAGGGTTGTGTCACTGAAATGATACTCTATGCTATGGATAATCATTCGATCGGTTACATCCGGATGCCTCCTCATTTTCTTGTCATTCTGTTATCGTCGCGGGTTTGTGGACCCGAGTGACTATGTTTGACGGAAAGGAATGAGGCTGGGATGCGGGAGTCCGGTTGGTGTTCATACATCATCGTCATTGTTTGAATGTGGTAGGAATAAAGGAATAGTAAGACTACACGGAAAGGTCTGTGGGAGACAAGATAGACAGGAATAGGAGATGATTATTAGCTGAGGATGAAGATCAAGATCAACATCGTCGTACATCTTATGATCATGACAATCGCATCCGTCCGAGAAACACTATCCCTTCAAATTGTAAGACGATGGCGAATTATCTCCGCATTGTAATCTATAATGTAGGTACGGTTACTTCGAGAATTGAAGGACTGCAGTAAGATGGCGGATTCAGCCTATGCCTCTTCTTCCACTCAAGTATTTTCATTCCTTCCACATCTGACCTCCATCTGACGTGCGTCTTCCTTTTGACTGTCACTTCTTGCGAATCAGCTATGCGTTCGGCGTGCATTTACTGGATGGTTGAATGATGGCTGCTTAGGTTGGGGGGTATGTATTGTAACCATACCTACAGAAGTGTAAGAGAGATTGCCTATTTTCCTGCCTTGTCATCCATTTCCCTTACATGGAGCCGAAGTTAAAAAGACCTCGAGGTTGTACAGCGTTTACTGTGGGGGTATGGGTATCGAAGGGATCGCAAATGGTGGTCAGAGTGCTATTACGGATACACAACGGCTTGCGACCAAAGACCACAGACCACATATTATTGTATGGAGTAATAAATGCTCAATCTATTGAAAATTACCTAGACTGTCAAGCACATCAGATTCTAAAATCCTTCCTACCTGAAATTAGCAGTTCGGGCGCTGGTATAAATGGGGAAACGCTGTTTGTTGAGGATGTAGGATGTAGGTACATCAAACCAGTAATGAAGGAGATTTTAGTTTCGAGATAATATTCATTCATTTATTTGCAGCGTTCGGGAGTTCCACGATTTGGGGTGGACTTTGGCACTGGGCAGCGGTGAGTTTCAGGGGTCGGCGAAGGTTAAACGGTGCCCAGCTAGTAGTTTGTCATTACAAGGGGATGGCTAATTGGGTACAATAACCATGACCTTCAATCTTGTTTTCTCGTGCGGTTAATGGCGGTGTTGGCGGTAAGAGGGAAGGTAATTTGAAGAGGCAGCTATAGCTGTGTAATCATAGTTTATTTTGGCTGGAATTAGCCATGTATGGTATTCTGTAGCATCTATCAACAACTTGCCGTATGTCTCTTGTACGAAGGTAAAATAAATGGGAGTAACTTTCTAGCTGGGTAATGGATTCGTTCATTGGGTGAGATGAAAGCTCAGGGCGTTTGGCTAAGGCGGATTTTCATCGGAAAGGCTGGATACTGAGGACCCCAAGATGGGCGATGAGTACGAGTACATAAGCGAGCTTCATTGGCTATGACATTTTATGGTATGATTTGATATTACGGAGATGTCCAGCCTCTATTTTGGCATCTCGCCCTCCTTCGCCAGTCACTACTGCCGGCTCTATCCATTACTGTGCATACATAGGACGAAGTAAAGCAATGACTATCACCAAGATATGCAGCTTGTGCAGTGAGGCTGTGGGGAAGATGTGAGTCTGTCACTGTGTCTGTCATGTCTATAAACTTCTCAAATCAATGCCAATTAGATGAACCAATAAAATTGTGTGGATGAGACTTTGCCAACAAATATGTATTAATGGATCATTTCTCAAATTTTTGAATAGTAAATTATGGAAAAATGGAAGGCCATTTGATAAGTCTGGGGTTACTAGACGCATTAGTCACTAAACTTATCTTGGCTTCATAAATATTTTTCTTGTTGTAAAATTCTGTGTTTAAATCAACTCTCACAGGCTCACACCAAGTACACAACCCTTGGAATATCGACGCCCCAGCGTTTCCCTTTCACTTACGAGCAAATCATTTATACGATCTTAACCACAAACATCAATCATTTCCGTCGCTGCAGCCTCACTATCGTCGTTTCCACTTTATGCCGCTCAGATCACTCATTGGGCGATGTTTTACTGGGCTGGGCTCGTATGCGTGGCAAGGGCGCAGTAATGCTGCATAAATTGACGATTTTTAACTGGAGAAGGTCAGGGATTGCGACCGATACTACTATTGAAAAATATGAAATAATTGAAGTCTTCACCAGCATGACCGGCAAAAGAACCCAGAAAGAAAGAATAGGGAAGGAAAGGGAGCAGGGGAGAATCTAAAGTTTGTTCCATGACCAAAACTGAGGTATGGGTATGGTGGTTCTCCATTCGAATTCTGAAGCCCTATCGAATAATCCAAGAAGGTGTAATAAATAACCCTGTTACGTGGCACAATGATTTGCTCAAGATATTACCTGAAGAAGGAATTGACGAGAAATAGATGGTTGAAAAGAACGGATCCTTTCATTTGCCGAGGATGACATATAGATTGCTTGCTGAGAGATCGCCTATTACTTACTGCGTACAGGACGAAAACAAGATGGACGCCAGAATATATTGTCATCTAGTTTGCACAAAAACAAAAAGTGAATAATAAGCCTATGCGGGAAAGTAAGTTAGCAACAATGATGTTGATCAGCAGCCACGAGGCGATTTGAGGCAAGAGAAAATGTCTCAGACCTTCTGAGGGGGAAGGGGGGAAGATAAATTTCATGCACAATCAAGGTTAGACCAGTTTGACAGCCCTGCGATTTGGCACCTACATACGGCTCTATTTACAAATGTGATTCTAGTAGGCTTGAAGTATTACTACTCAACTAAGCTTAGATCATTTTCATCATTTTGAATATCGATTTTACACAAAAGTAAGCCACCATGGATATTGTTCTGAATATATACATACAGTCGGTTCCTCCCCATTACGCTCTTTAAGATCCTCAAGATCCTCACAATTGTATTCCCTTTTATATTTCAATATACTTGTCGTCGCTCACCTCCTTCATTACCAAAGACGACATGCGGAATAGCATATAACCTAATCATAACGCAAAGAACCCATTTGGAACCGGACATCGCCCCCGGATCCCTTTTCCTTTGCAACTGTTCATCAGCCCAGTTTTTGGTCCATTGGAGTAGGAGCCATTTATATCCAGGTCGTTTCCTTTTTTTTCTATCTACAATTTTTGCCATGTTGGATCATAATAGGGAGTTACCACCATGTTTCCCGCCTACCAAACTTGCTTTCCAAAACAGTCCGCTTCACCAATATCCATCTCAGGTCAACCCTTATTCTGCATTATTTCCATCTCACCATACATATCCAACCCCTCCTCCTTCGCCACTAGCTTTTCCGATGCCTCAGGATCATAGGTTAGGTACGATACTAGGAGAGACACTATTATTATCACGAGCTTTAGGCTCGGGAGCCTACGGGACTGTATATTATGCCCAGGACTTATCCACCGGAAAAGAGTATGCCGTGAAAGCTCTCAACAAAAGAAATGCCTATGGACAACCTTTGGACGCAAAAGCACGACTTTATCAGTCAAGAGAGATAGCCTTACACTGGAATGCTTCGGCGCATCCTAATGTTGTATCGATGTATAAGATTCTTGACGACCCGGACTGCACCTATGTTATCTTGGACTACTACCAGGAAGGAGATCTTTTCTCTAATATTACTGAGGGTGGTAGATATGTAGGTCACGATGCTCTAATCCGGAGCATCTTCCTCCAAATCTTGGATGCCACGGAACATTGCCACCGTCTTGGAATATACCACAGGGATCTCAAGCCAGAGAACATTCTAGTATCCAATTCTGGTCGTACCGTTTGCCTAGCAGACTTTGGATTAGCCACACAGGAACCCACATCTCGTGATCACGGATGCGGATCTACATTTTACATGTCTCCAGGTAGGCATTTCTCATCCCGATTCCCATCCGCAGTTCTCCCTTTACCTACTAACACGTTCCGTTGTCAGAGTGCCTAGAGCAATCATATGCACCATACAGATGTGCACCAAATGACGTCTGGTCTCTCGGGGTGATCTTGGTCAATCTCACATTTGGAAGAAACCCTTGGAGACAAGCCTCATGGGATGATGCCACATATAATGCCTTTCTTAAGAACCCAGATTTTCTGAAGACCATTCTAAACCCATCGGACGAACTTAACATCATCTTGCAAATGATTTTTCAGCCAGACCCAGAGCTCCGTATTACTGTTCCGGAGCTGAGATTGATGATACAACGATTGCCAGGCTTTTACTCATCTCCCTCTTCCCCAACAACATACCGTACCAAAATTACCAACAATTTGTCAAACGACTCTGGCTACTCCACGTCGTCTCAATACGTCGGAAGTCCATTTCGATCATCATCGTCGTCTCACGACTCGGCTATTTATATTGAAGACGATTACTCCAGCACGCACAATGGAACCACCAATTCAACTCAATCATTCCGTAACACTGGTCTTCCTGATTTAAAAAGCCATAATATGGAGGATTGCAGTGGCCATTTCCAAGGCCATGTTTATTCCAATGGTAGCCCCAGGGAAAGTGTACTCCTACCTTCTCAGCACTTTACTTCATACTCGACACGGCCTTCTCTATCGCCACCAACTACTCCACCTCCAAACGTTGCGCATTTTCCACGGATTTCTTAAATGGTTCATCTGCAATGTGCGATAACTTATCCGAGGATGTTTTGTTTTAAAAGTTTTATTTAATTTTCTTACATCGACTTCCTTACTATCAGGATCTCGAAATACATTGTATAGTTTTCTTTAGTTTTGAACCGGTTGTTCAAAGAGGTGCATAGGTCCGGATATTAGTCTTTAACGCATGATTAAAACGAAGAAATGTTGGAATTGGATCTTGGTATTTGGACGGGAGTTAATCGGGCATTCTAGGGTAGGACAGACATGGGAGCGGCAGCGTGTTGCCGTACTGGGAGTTTCGGCGTGCTTTTTATCACGATACATTTTCTGGAGTCACTGGATTTTTCTTTTAAACTCTTTGGTACTTTCGCTCTATACCCTTTGGGCAGGCTTTTATCAATGCATAGGACGGTAGAAGGGTGGAATTTTCAAGATTACTTGGCAAGAGCATCTATGGCGATAAAAATAAATACGTTAAGGCTGAGTTGTAGGCAATCGGTCAATTTTAAGGAAAAATAAGGTGTTGGGCAAGGGAAATAGGTATAATGTACATGTACATCGAAACAGCATTCAAAGCATAGGACGGAGTTCATACCAGTAGTTAGAATTCTACAGAAGTCTTCGACAAAACATATTCTTCATTACTAGTGGCTGTGAGTCATTTTCTTCTGCAATTCGAGCGCGATGCGACGGCAAATGAAAGACATGCGACGAAATATACTCGGTATTACGATTAGGATTGCAGAGATGCACAAAAATAGACTAAAGATTTTAGCCAGCCAGCCCCTCCAGCAATGACACCAAATTCTCGAACCACCTTGGAAAATTCCTATCACATCGGAATACCTCGAAAGAGAGGGGAGGACATGCATAAGCCTAGATTAAAAGCGTCTGGGCGTGCATATGCAGTGACATGGTTCACGATGATTATGGTGATTCATTTGAAGCCACCGTTCGCCTTGTTTTTTAAAGATGTGCGCCTTTGTGCCCGGGAGGGTCAGATGATGCATTAGTGGCTGGCCCTGGTGAACCAATCATTTGTTTGTGGCGATTATGATTAATCATGTGTTACATAGGCTTGATCTTTTTCCCTCGCGCCATGTTAGAGGTTGTCTTTGGTTTCTTTGCCCATAGCGATATTAGAGCCCCTTTTCAAGCGAAAGGGCTAACTTCCCCGCGTATCTTTCTTTATCACACAACCAGCTCAATCAAGTGGTGGGATTTGGTTGTTGATATAAGATCGATTAGATACTTGGTCATAATTGTCCGTGCATCTTCTTCCAAGAGGATGGTCAAGATCTCTTTGGTGCTCATCGCTGAGTTCGCTATAGACTAACACACTGAATCAACGCAGAAACTATTTGGATGGCGAGTAGATAGTAATGCGCGTGTTGTAGTGGTGATGCGATGAAAGATCATAGAGGAGACCATTTGAACGAGTTAAGTAAGAGTATATTATGAGGTTTGTCATGATGAGATGTTACCAGTAGCTATGGCGCTGCGGTATCTTAGCTCATGGAAGCGTGTGAAGATCTACCTAGAGTCGTCGAGTGATGTCATAGCCTTCACCAGGCTTGTCGGTGGGAAGATATAAACTCTTAGGGTTCTTCACCACGTCTCATGTTGCTATAAAGGGAAAGACGACTCTAAGGCCGAGTGTACTTTAAACAGACTACGACTTCCGAGGTGCAGGATGCTAGCAATGGCTACATTGATAGTTGAAAGATATTCTTGAGAATAAAATAATACTCGTGCGGTTAGAAAGTATAGAACCTCTTTCTTAACAGAATTATTTTTGATTGAAAAGAGTATAAATTTTATATATTTATATTCAAAACAATAAAAATTATAAATTAAATTATTTAAATATAAAAATAAATAAATATTTCATTTGCATTTTTATTTAATAAAATGAGATTAAGAAAACCTTAAATTTTATTAATTAAAATAAAATTTCTCTTTGCAAATTTAAATCTATTTAAATTTTTGGAAAAAAAAATTTGTTTTTATTTTAATTTTAATTTTTAAAGGTTTTCAAAAAATATTAAAAAAATATAAATAGAATATTTATTTATTTTATTTTTATTATTTTAATATTTTAAATATAAATATATATGATTTATATTCTTTTCAACCAAAAATGATTCTGTTAGAAAGGGCAAGTGACTTGCACGTGACAATTCAATCACTCGGTATTGAAACTTTAAATCCGACTTTAAAATCCTCACTGGTATTATATGCCACGGCCGCTTGAGCAATACCAGAGGAGCTGAAATTGTGACGGTACGAGTACCGGTGCTGCATGAGCCACTTACTGATGCTTTATATATTCCAAATATCACGGGTATTGAGGATAGCTAGTGACGTATTTTGGTGGACTTGGTCACGTGGTTCTCTCAAACTTTTGTTGCATATCTGGAAGGAACGAGTGGCATGGTTCTGTATTGCATCTCTGGGGCTCAGTAAAACACAGAGATGTATCTATCGGAGGGCAGAGTACTCATAGTGGCATCCTATCAGAGATTCTAGCATCTTCTATCTGCCATCATCCCTCTGACAGTATTGAGGAAGAATATTCTTTGTCATTGTGATCGCGATGCAAGTAATTGACGAAGCGGAAGCTAGGGCGTAAAAAGAAGTGATAAACTAGGTTTGGTATAGTCCTCTACATAACAACACATCAACAAAGTTTCAAGCGACAGAGTCGGCTTATTTATCATGCGAAGGGCCCAATGCAGATGAACTTTGGGGGCACTAACAAAAATGACACGTTTGCTTGAGTCAGTCTCATGCATTTTCACTCCACATCAGACGATTTGTAGTCCAGACCTTGGAACCCTAATTAGACCCATCTATCTAATGACGGATGTTGACTGTGCAACAAGGAAGTACATATAACATAGTACACTTTCAGCAAACTCCAAAATATGGTAACCTCAAAGGAAATAAGAGCCTCCTATAAATAATGTATGCTATATTCTCTGACGCAAGAATAACCACCATTTAAGAGACGTATTTGACAGGTGGCTCACACTAGAAAGCGGCTCCAACACTTGAAAGATTACCAGGCTTGCAATTCGTGAGAGTTCCTCATCGCATATTAAGCGAAATCACACCAGGAGTAACGATTTTTCGCCTTTTTCTATCTTAATATAAAATATCATAATAACTCAGTAAATATCATGAAACAAGTGTGACCACTTTTCTAAAGTATAGTTTCTGATCTTCAGAACCATAAAGGTCCGGATCCAACGGATTCCTCGCGCCGAGATCATAAACAGATAAATTCTTTTGCTAAAATATGAGAATGATAAACAGGTAAATTCTCGTGCTATAGTGTGGGAACGGGCCTTAGGTTTTGACGATAGAGCTATCTTTGAGCGAGTTCTTGGCAAGAACTTCTTGCCAATCAAAAGCAAAGAGATACAAATAAATGGTTGAATGCTTAGCACACACCATCAGTAGGCCGCGCTTAGTGCCGAGTAAGAGCTCCCCCAGCAATGCTATATGAAATCTCCTTTGACACTGCTTGGGGTTGCCTCGAAACTCCCATTCTCCCGGTAAATGACACTTGTATCCAATGTTATTCACGACTTTCAAGCCTGATTCAAGCACTTCATCATTATCAGTTTCAATATCTTGAATGGTATCGAAATAAACATAAATAATTCCTTCCTAATTTAGAATTCAAGTTCTTCGAGAGATATCTAGGTCTGCGCTGTCTTAAAATAAGTCGAAAGATGTTAAATAGGCTTGAAAGACATGGTAGTCCTGGCTTTAAAGCTCGGTAGTAGCAGGACTATCATGTTTTTCAAACCTGATTCCCGCATTTCGCCATCATTAGTATATTCCAAATATCTTGAATGGCATTAAACTAAAAATAATGATTCCTCTCTAATTTAGTATTCAAATTCTTCAATAAGTATTTAACTCTGTATCGTTCCAAACTGAATCGAAAAATGTTAAATAATCCCACAGCTCAGTAGTAGCAGGACTATCATACTACAAATCGAGTATCCTCTTATCTTCATGATGCCTCCTACCCAATCACGTCTTCAAAGGGTTGAAAACATCCCCCTAGAACTCAGAACACCGAGGAATGGCGTAAACTACATGGCAAAGCTACCCATCGCCCAAAACCATCAGATATTTCATCGAAAATCAGCGTGCTGATTGTAGCGATCTATGACATGTTTTAGGGCATGAAACGCTGGTGGTTGTTTAGCTAACATGAACCTACAACGATGTTGCCTGCGTGGAGAAGCCTCATTTCCTTGAGCGGAAGCCCACTATGGTACATGGCCTATGGGATAGTAGCGCATCTGGGAAAGTGGGATCACCGGCAAGCAATTCTCGCCCTAAATATTTTCCATATAAGTATGAATCGTCAACAAGAATTAGATACTTAACCCCGTTAAATATTGAGTGATAAAAAAAGTTTGTATGCTTAAACCTTTGTGTAAGAATATTACTATAAATATTGTGGCCAGCAATCCCTCACCTCAGTCAATACTTAAACTGGAAAGGCTGGGATCTGGTCAAAGTGAATAGCCTGAAATAGCCGTAGAAAAGACAATGTGCATTCCCTGATCCCCTATCCACTTGCGGTACTAACATAATGCATCAGAGCCCAAGCCGATTGAATGTACACTTGTAAACTTAGCTAACCCGGGCATATCAGCTTTTGGACTAGAACTGAGCTGGCAGTTCTTTCTTAACCCCCAATTAATTTCCTCAGCCTTGCCCAGTGAATGTGTATGTTACAATCCTCAATTCGGTGACTTGGAACGGAAGCATCCTCACCGCAAGTCCGATACGGACGTGCGTAAACACGATATTCCAGTCTACTGGCCCGATGATGACAGACCAGACGCAAGTCTTCTCCTCAATATCTGGGCACGTTCTGGACTCTAAACTTTGCCTTGCCAGGATCAAGATTCCAGAGTCATTAGAGAATTCGAGCGCGCTGCATTAGGTTGAAGATTGGCGTGGGTGTAGAAATGTTCGAGATGCTGCAAGCTGGACTTCCATCTAACATCTTACATCGCTCTCATCTGACCATCTTGCAATGCTTGTCAAAGCGTACAGCTTTCCATATTAGTGGATACCATGTCTCCCGTGGAAAAGTACCATCGAATCGCTGGTGTCAAAAATGCTGCATGTAAATGCAATGATGCAGCCATGACAGAAAGATGAAGTGTTCGTGCAGAAAATATGGAGGTGTGGTTTCTGTGTGGGTGGGTGGCCAAAGCGACGGAAAATTTGACGTGGTAGCCACTCACGGTGTCATAAGCGATCAAGACGCGTCGATCCAACGTTTGTATTGATAACAAAACAATTCAAACTCGACATGTTGACGCTAATTGACGGCTGCTAATTCTGCATCCACTTCCGCAACTGGGCGTGCCTGGAACGGAACGCTGGACGGGAATATCTCCCAGAATTCCTAGCCATACAGTATGTACTCGTACAGCATGTTGCCCGCACATTGTACTGCAATAGGAAGTTGTTTTCGACGCGCCATGGTGTATTGTCTAGGCTATAGGTGTACAATGCAACCACATCTTCGAGGTACTAACATTCGGTGTCACTCACTTCGTGTCGACCCATGTGCGGCGGAACCAAAAAAGTGTGATGACACCAGGATATCGCAGTCGGCTACCCAGGTTAGACAAGGAATAAACAAAAGTGTCCTCCTGTAACACAACACGAATTCGGCTTTGTTATCCGGAAAGCAATGCCAATGCCATGTTACAACGTTCTTTTGCTTCCTCCAGCTAGCGCATGGATGAAGACCTGCTTTTTTTTTTTTTTTCTCCGACTCGACGATTATCCTCGTGGTGTGTATTTTTATTTATTTTGTGGATGTTGCCGTTTGTTGGATTGCTCGCATGAATTTGAGGGCATGTGACTTTTCGCTTCGATGGCATGGGTGAAAGAAAGTAACAAGGGTATTCTGAAAAAAACTGCCAGGCGTCGGAATTTTTTTCCTTTTGCTTTAAGAGGTTGACAACTCAATCGTATATTTTGATCACGTCTCTCCTCAATGCCCCTTACTCTCCACTCTATAACCGAGCGATGCACTAGGGGCAACTCAAGTACAAGCCAACACGTGCTTGACGTTGCGCATAGAAGCGTACAATAGCCAAGCGGCTGGCAGAGGGGTTTTTTATCCTTGGGTATACAAATCCGTTTCCTTCCTCGCTTTTCACCCCCTTCCATTGGCGATACGGGAAGTCCCATGCACATTCTCCCATGTACATTCTCCCATGTGAGAGCATGTATTGATATACATCGTATCAATCATTGACGATGATGTACTTGGTCTCTGAAGATTTCATTCCCGTTGTCAGGTGACCTATTATCACGAGTTCACAGAGGCTCATAACTCTCCGATGATGAACTTTCCTCAGTACCATGGGATGGTGTTACCCGTTTGAATATATATACCACTCAGGCTTTAACCCTACCTCGGGCTTCCTGGTGGAGTGATTATATATTCGTTTCCATTTTCGTAGTGTTTACTGATGGCTGTCTTTCAAGCCACATCATTGTAGTGAGTGAAACGCTCAATTTGATTGAAACATCGAGGAACGAGGCGTCCTGGGTGTGAATTATTGTAAGCCGGTTCTGAACTTCTCCCTCACGGTGCACACATCGACGTCCTCCCCTAGAAAAAAAACTGGGCGATGCATGATGCCATGTATTCATATTATGGACATAATGTTCCTTCGTGAAGGAGGAACGACGTCAGTCATGACGCTAGCGATGACGCCAGTGATGGCTCAGAATCTTCAGTACAGAAAAGGGAAAATAAATTATGTTATGTAGAAAGGAGAAGAGAAAATATCTTACAAGGTGCGGGGGCATGGTCTTTTATGTGCACTCATTATTTAGTTGGTACACTAGGTTGGCTGTCTTTTAGTTAATTGCTAGTGCACAGGCTCGTCGTCGTTACTCTGCTAGCTTAAAAGTATATCCTCGCTATCACTTATCAGGCAATGGATAATTGCTCAACCACGGCCACAATATTCGCCGTTTATCCGGTGTAGTTGATACAAATTTCAATACGATAAAGAAGTAAGTAGTTTATTCTTATCAATTCCAAATATACGATCGCCTTGCTTTTTTACTTTCAAAGTGCTTTTCAATGTAGTATCGATACTGTTGTTCAGGACAGTTTGGCTTAGCTGTACCGGGCTTCTATGATGAAAATGATATTGATGATGCACGTCTCCCACGAAGATGGCTTATGAAGATAACCGTGGCACGTTCGAAGAAATGGAGTTGTTCTAGGAGCCCTTACTAGTTATACTGCATATTCCGTATGTGCCCAGCTCCCCCTCACCACTCTCAACACTGGCACAGAGGGGCAGCTCGATTTTGATAGTTACCTAACACATAGTGAGCATCAAGCAAGGCCATTAACAGGCTTTACCACTCCAGAATTTACTTTCCACACCCACCTCGGGTATTCACTTTGGGTATCCGCCTAAGATAAATATACATTGCCATCTGCACATCAACATATTCTACCCTCTTGTGACTATAGCCCATCCCTCGGACGACATCTCTCGTCGATAGATATCATCCGTGGTGGACTATGCCTGGATGAACTAAAATTCATGTAGATCCGATCTAACTTAACTAGCACATCGCACATTGGAAAAATCTGAATTCGCCAAAAATTCCTACCCTAGCATCATAATCGAGGATCTCGCTCGAGTTTTTATTACAACATTAAGCGAAAAGTGCAATTGAGTATACACAAGATCCTTCAATCGTATTGAATCTCTTTCAATACGACGGTAAGGGGTTGTGCCACTCACTTCTACACATCTTCGCTCAATTCGCTCCATACGGCACCTCAATTTGCACTCAGCAACAGCTTTTCAACTCAACACAGATATCACCACTACCTCTTGTAGCCGTCGTATCACCAATAGGTCTATCAAACTTAAGGCTTCATACTAGAACACCCACCTCTTTGGTAGTCTTCAAGATGTCGTCTCCACCACCATTATCATCCGGCAATGGAAATAGCGAGTCAACCTTTCCAGGTGTACCTGGCAGGTCTTTCGAAACTGCGAATTCTACTATGAGACATTCCGATTCTATCGTCCCATTCATGCAATCGTCCTCATCATCCTCCCAGGCCACGCCATCCCCAACCGTATCTTCATCTTCCCTCGTCTCTAGTCAAGCTACAAGCATCTCGTCTTTTGCTTCAACCTCAACCATGGGCCAGAAAGCTGAACCATCCGTTGAACCATCTATATCAGCCGCAAATTCGACCACGCCAGCCAACCCATCATCGATCGACACAAGTAATAAAAAATCCGATGAAGACAAGAAGAGGGAGATGAGCGGTGCACTTGGTCAAGCTGGAACCTCGGGACGTGCAAAGAGAACTAGGACAGTTTTGAACACGGCAGAGGGTGCTGAACAAATCAGCGGCGAATTGAATGAAATCAACATCATTTATAACACCGGCGACTCAATTGGAAAGAGAATGACACGCGCTGTGAAGGCAAAGTCTGATACAGTCAAGCATGGTGCTGAATCTGCCAGCGCTAATTCCAGCCAAGCTTATACAATGCCAGCCCCAAACGGCAATGGAAAAGGGACCGGAGACACGCTTTCCAATGTCAACCGAGAACCTACAAAGGGGGCGTCAAAACCTAAGCGTAATAAAAAGCTGGTCAATGGCGAGGCAACAGATGAGCAGCTTCTTCCTAACGCAAAGAGACAGAAGACCAAGGCTCAATCGCGTCAACCTGTTGAAAGTAAGAAGGTTGTCCCGTGTGGCGACGCCCAATTTTTATGGCTTAAGTTCCAATCAAAGGAAGTTAAAAAACAGGCCTCATATAAGGACCTGGTTGGTACGAGCGGAAAAGTCAAAAGTGACAAGTACGTCAAGAAAGAGATACTGGGCGAGAAAGTTTCAGTACCTGTCGGCGCATGTTTCGAGCCCCAGAAAATCGAAAACCCAGAACCCCTCTCTAATAAAGAGCAGGCCCGCAGGCAAAAAACTTTCAGCTTCAAAGTTTATTTTCCTCCTGAGTTTGGAAGGTTCTTCTCGCAGGGGGCAGTAGAATACATACATTATAATCTCGACACCACTTCTCATGAGAATTTGAAGCTAATGGAGAAGATTAAGACATCTATGGCAGAGGCGAAAAAGAAGGGGGAAAAATTTTGGTTTGAAACCATGGAGGACTTTTAACTTCGCCCATTTTTCCACGACACAGCGCACATTCGTTATGTAGACATAGCAAAAATTTGAAGAAGTTGTGCAACGAACGTCATGATCCTGTGGTACTCATTTGTCAACGTGAAGGTATTGAAGTAAATTGATTTGATACATCCAATTACAAGCATCTGTTTAGATGAGATGATACAGTAGGTATGGAATTAGGAACTTATCATAGACTCGCAATGCTCACGCCTCACATATTATCATCCTCCGTTCCAACAATATTGTGAGTTTTCATATACCTCCATAATCGCCCTTCACTTCCCGATGAAAGTCTGCTTCCTCCAAGCATTTCCAAAACCTTACAATTCTCTCACAGATATATATATATATATTTCTATATCACTCATTTCACTTTAAGAAATAATTTTGAGCATATATTTTTAATTTATTTCAAAGTATGTTAACTATATAAAAATTAATACTCTACTTTTGTTTAAAAACATTTAGATATTTATTTTATTTCCATCTGAAAGTATTCAGATGAGAATTAAAACAAACTTTATCTATTGAAAATAAAAACTTTAAAGAAACTTATTTATAATAAAATAAAAAATAATAAGAGAATTATGAATAACTTCTAGACTTAATAAATGAACTTTATAAATTAATTTTTTTTTACAAAACTACTTTTGTTGAAATATTATTAATCGATAAAAACAATAATTGAATAAAACTCTGATGAATCATAATAAGTCCCCTGAATCCCTTTCGTTAGTAGCTCGCTTAATTCCTATGCATATATATCTTCCATATCTTCCATACATAAACACACAACCGATCAAGGAAAAAAGCAAATAAAATTACTCGAGTAATGGCTTATCCATCGCCTTATACTTCTCCCCTACACTTCATCTCTCATCATCTCATCTCACACTATATGAACGCATTCAAATTGTGGAACTCTAAGGACTGTGAGTCTATGAACCTTTGTATAAGAACCGTGGAGTAGAGTATCATCTGAGTATCACTGAGCATAACTATCTTATGCTCAAAAGCCCTCTTACAATGTGAATTACTCGATAGTTACTATTTATGCAGTTGAGACTAGAGTGGTTCGATGGGAAATGGGTGTATGGTATGCCTCCATTTTACTGGTATCATAGCAGATTTATTCATTGAACCTATATCCAACGTTCATAAAATTACGCCCTGCGAGCAGTTTTATTATGTTTTTTGCGAGGAGAAACATTTTTCCTATCCACGATATTCCATTTCCAGCTGGAATTAATTCATGTCCTCCCTCCACCATGATTATCCAATGCCATATTTATGCGTTCTCTTCCAATTCCTCACACAGCCTTTTCCTTTCCTTTACCCGCAAAATCTATAATTTTCTTCTTCCCGAAATCCCTCGCTTTCTTCCACTTGCAATAAAGCACCACCACGTCCTTCAACATTACGAATAGACATCCTCCCACTACACTTCTGGCCCATTTATGTTGTAATAATCCTGGCTTGCCGTTCCTCGTTTTCATCCATATAGACGGTAATGCGTATTTGAGCGCATCGCCCATAATGCTTGATATTGCGGGAAACAACATTGCACCCATAAACTGGAATGATAAGCTGTGTGTGCTGACATTTCGACGGACTCCCCAATCGTTCTCGTTTGCGTTCGCGCCTTCTTGGTCGCCCCCATTTTGATGTTGATTTCCATTTCGATCACCTGCGGGGGCATGTACATGATCGTCTGGAGGAACCAAATTTCCGTCTTGATCCCTCACCTCATCGACAATCTCAACTTCGAAGTTCAGGAACCCTTCTTGTCCTCTGCGCTGTTCCAAAGCGATTTGTTCTGCGGTTTCGCCTTCTCGTGGTTTGCGCTGAACAGCTAAATCCCATCTCTTCTCTAAGTCGTAAAACATGTGATGATATAGTGTATTGTATGCTAATCTGAAGTATGGAAGTAGCGCAAATGTGCGACCTGGGGATGGAGGCCATGAAGTGATGTTTTTGTTATCGGGGCTAAAGAGGAAATACTGAAGACATGTTAGCAAAATGAGCCTCAGATTATACTTCCGAATCAACGCTTATTTCAGACATTCGACATCCCGCTGGTAATATCCGAGATTTACCTACAGTGACAGGAACTATAGTGAAAACAGAGTCCGCGATTTTTGTCCGTGATAATATGAGGGTTGGTGCGATTAATGGTAGCCCTATTGCTGTTCTCCAACTTGGTACCGCCATGAACCCACCACCGAGAAATGGAAATAAATATTTGGTCATAATTTGACTGATGGGTAATTGTATGTAATCCTCAAGAAAACGGCGGTCTAAGAAGTCGTCATAGTGCTCGAAGGTGATCCTTCGAGCTTCATCCGTACCAAATATCAATGCCAGACTGTTAACGCCAAACAGTAGGGATCCGGAATAGACGCAACTAAAGACTGCGCCAGCCGCTGTGGGAAGGACCAAATGCTTCGCCATACGTTGCAACTTATCCACTGTCATGACTAGGTAATCTTTGGGCTGATCGATTCTAAGTTGATACTTGCACACTGGGCAGACAATCTTGGGTGCCATCTCCTTGTCTGCGGATACTGCAATCCATTCCATCAAACATGATTCGTGGGCCTCCAGAGAACATGGACATGGAGATCGCCATGATGAAGTTTGAGGTCCATCGTCTGCATCATCCATTTGACATATCCAACAGGTTCTCATGTCAGGAGGTGATATATCCACCCTTTGCGCTTCATCGGACTGCGTAGAGTTGTCGGATTGAGGTTGGTTTAGAATATGAGCTTCGTTTGATTCTTCGACTTTAGAGAGGGTAGTCTCTGTAGAATTGTCGGAGGACTCCTGGTTTAATTGTTCGGCGCGAACTGGATCGATTCTCTCTCGCACTTTTGGAGGAGCTGGGTATGCTGATTCCATTTTCGCAATTTGGAGGAGTGATTGATGATAGTTGAAACTTGAGAAGGAAGGGAAGACGGCTATTACCACATTGCTTGAGAAAGGATGGGCAGAGAAATTCTAGGAAATACTAAACATAGGTGCTGATTTTGACGAGAGAGCTTTTTTAATGACAATGAGTAATACACCACAACCACTGGCCGCCTTCTTGTTGTATATAAAGCAGAAGGTTCAATGCCGCCCGCCTCGGTCTATTGACAGCGCCACAACATGTCAACCTTTTTCAGCCACAGTTGACCCTTCAGCCTTGTTTACGCTCATTTCTGAAACTATTAACCAATTAAAGATGAGACATTTTCCAGTATATCATATATATCATATTTGATTTTGGGTGGTATGGTAATCTAACAGAATATATCTCGTATCCAACTTCAACTACAACTTTTATCTTCACTACAATCATAACCTTACACACCTACATGTTATCATTTCTTTCCTCATCTCATATGTGACAAACCACCGCGCCATCAACATGATGTTTACTATCTCTCCCCTTGTTTATCCTACCGCATAATCTGGTTCATAAAAAAAAGAGGCAGAGAGAAGCGCTAAGACTTTTAATTATGGGCTTCAATCTTCTCATTTGGGCCATTCCCCGCGAATGAGTGAGACTTCTTTGAGCGCATGCGTATTGCTAATAATCTTTTATCTATACGTATTGGTCACATAGTCCGTACCATATGCGAATTCTGGAAACAGCGGCAGGATCAAGTTTTCAAGCGAAGATTGTGATTACTGTAGTATGGTTTGTTTATATTCCAAACGTTCTTATCATGTTCGTGGGCTATGGTCGCCAATAGCTAAGTCACCAGTAGTTTGATGACGATACTGTCCTCATGGAGCACATGACCCGGAAGAGAATAAAAATTGAATAACTGAGCATCTCAATATGTAATGGATGAGGTTGAAATAAAAATGCTTTTACTCGTTTTGTTTAGCAGGTTTTAAGGTCACGGAAGCACATCATCTCTCGGGCCTTTACCCTTACCTACCCCAATTGTATTAAGGTTGCTATCAAATTAGTGGAGATCCGCCTTTTCGCCTTTAGCTTCTCTCTCATAGTGCCCTTTCTCTCTTAAAGCCCTCTTTCTCATTTGCATCTTCTGCTTTTGTTTTGGTTCTCCCGGAGTGTGGTTTTTGGCTTGCTCCCTCTGCAATAATTTGCAGTCATTCGAGCAATGAAATCTAGAAGGCGTCTCCTTTTGGCTGTCCGTTTGGCTGTGTCCTCGATAATTGTTACCGCTATATTATTGTTTGCCCGTCATGGTACTCTGAATGTGACATCACTTTTTGGATCACCGGCACCATTTCACAATGCTTTTGGATATGAATATGTCGAAGTGGATGATGATTTAGTCAGGGAGGATTCGATTTCGGCACATCATTGTATTGTCACAGAAAACTTCGAGTGGCTGGACAAGTACAACTTATCATTCCCTTTGAAAGTAGCCCACCGAGATATTGTCGCAAAACCTAATCATGGAGCGAGACCGTCAATCACCACCATTGATGAGTCCTTATTCGACGGCCAAGAGATTTTTCGGCGCGGAGAGCTTTCTACCAATAGAATCGTTGACTACTGCTCCCCAATCACTCTCGAAGTACCTTATCCTCCAATTCACAAAATCGACGCTTCGCACATGATATTTGGTCTGCAGACCACGATAAAACGTCTTCGGCATACCAAGCCGCATTTAGCACGATGGTTGCCCAACACTGGTGCTCGTTTGATTGCAATAGTAAAAGAAAGTGAAGAAAAACTGGCATCCAAATCAGAAATGGCTCGACTTCAGAAGGAATATCGTGAAGCAGGCATGGACGTCACTATAATATCACCCGTCAAGAAAGAAGACTTTTTCAATCAACGATATTTCTCCTTGATAAATCTAATGTATGCGGCTCGCAGCAAGAAAACAAGATGGACTGTCTTAATAGACGACGATACATTCTTCCCTTCCCTTCGTGCTCTACTCGACGAACTTGCCCTTCACGACCATACCCAGCCTCAGTACATTGGTGGATTATCCGAGAACTGGGCTGCCGTGAGAACGTATGGGCTCATGGCATTTGGAGGGGCAGGAGTTTTTATTTCCAGGCCGCTGGCTAAAATTATCCACGAGAATAATGAAGAGTGCAAAAACAACATGCGATTCACCTCGGGAGATTCACTGGTGATGGATTGCATATATGGACATTCCAAAGTTCAGCTTAAGGCAGTAGCTGGACTTTCTCAGATCGATTTCGTCGGAGACCATTCTGGATTCTATGAGAGCGGGAGAAGAGTATTATCTCTACATCATTGGAAAGCAGGATCTGCGAGCAAATATCCCTACGAGATGGACAAGATGCATCTAGTATCAGACGTGTGTGACGAATGTCTTCTACAACGTTGGCAATTTAAAAATGATGTTGTCCTTACCAATGGCTTTAGCATTGCAAAATATCCCAATGGTTCGTTAGAAGAAGGGGCAAGAAGTGCGTTAAGTAATGCGACAATTTTAGATGGAGCTGTCGATTTGAGGAGAACAGAGGTGACTTGGGATGACAAGAATATGGATGTTGAGCATAGTCTAGCACCCACAAGACCAGAATTGAGCGAAGAACAGAAGCTCAGCTGGAAATTTCTGGATAGCTTTCTGATGGAGAAGGGACATGTTGTCCGACAGATATATTTGAGAAAGGAAGTTGAAGGAGAGGGAGAGGGAGATGAAGTTCTGATTCTGAATTGGAGACGAGCCAGAAAGAATCACGGCGGAAGAGGAAAGAAAAATCAGTGATGGATTTTTCTGAAAGAAAGAAAGAAAGAAAGAAAGAGTAGCCAGAATTTCTTTTTTGTCGTTCAACATACCCAACAATAATTCGGGCATAAATTTGGCGTCGACGAGGCGTTTGGGACAATAATGATGATGATTGTAGAAATTCTGGCCGGAATATTGGATATCATGATGATTTGGAATAGGTAGGTATGATAATGTATAAATTTCACCCATATGGATATGGCAAATGAGAAAGGACTTTGGGATAGCTGTTGGATACCTAGGATACTGGGAGGAGGAACTAATAGAGTGTTAATTATATATGTAATCTTACCGTTACATAAAAATATATCTAAATACCTAGGTACATAAATCGGAATATAAAAATATCACCAAGTTCCTCTAGCCTCTCACTCCCTAGAATGATTCCCCGATACCTCTCAACAGTGTTCTCATCATATCATACTGCTATCCAACCAATCGGTCATTCTGCCTACATACTAAGTTAAGTCTTCGCGAGAAATAGATAGATATGGGTAACATATCCAAATACAACTCATATTCCTGCAATTCTTTTTTTTTGTTGCATATCTGGAAATGCCGAAGTTATCCGCTGCTGTGAGGAGTTGGTTTTGTTTATGTGTGTTTTTTTTGAGGAAGGGAAGGGTGTTGTCATTGTGGCGATGTTGGGTATGCGATGGGATGTTATGTGTATGTGTGTATGTGTTGGCTTGAGTACCTAGTATGATATGGTGTTTGGTTAAGGGAAAGGGAGGGGAGGGATGTTCGGCTTGGATGGGAATTGAAGACGTGGAATGAGATTGAAATGAGATGAGGATGGGGTTATAGTGGGGTGATGCGGTGATTAAATGGTTGAGGTGGGAAAGATGGGACGGGGATGAGGTGGGAGTGATAAGTAGATTAATATCTGGAATGAGATGATATTTATTGTTGTTTGATGTGATATACAAAAGAGCTTGATGATTTTGAAGTTTTCTTTGAGATAACGTTTAAGGCTTACATCAGCTCATCAGCTCACAGCCATATATCATATATCATTGATCAGGCTACTGCATCGGTCACCGTATAACTACATCACATAATAATTATTTCTGATGCAACACACTTCAATCATCAATAATTCTCTCGCGGCTCAAGCTGAGCTTTAGGTTTGGAATTCCTTCAGATTAATAGCCCACGATTAGACTTGCTGCCATCCACCCATTCAGGTGATAGAACTTTCACGCTCCTCCGTTTGGAAATGAATAAAGTGGATGATGGAACGATGCGCACCAATAATCTGGAGAACGCTTCGGGGCACAGCGGGGATATGGCGGGGTCCTTCCTCGTGTACCTAGGTATCGTCTGAAATTGTACTAGGTATGTACCGTATGTGACAGTGAACGAATGAATGTTATGATCTCGTGCCCCTCCATGAATTGATCTTGTTGGCTCGTAATTCTGCTTTTCTATTCCAATTCCTTCCTGCTTCTATCCTGTCCGAGCATTCCTCTTCATCTTGCAGATCTACTTCCTACACATTTGCAGATTCCCAAGCTTGCAAATCCGCAGCGGTTCATATCGACAGCTTCCTGCCTGCACACCTCCTACCTCCCAATAACCTTCTTTTACAATGGCTGGTATTGTACCTGTCGCAAAGTCTCTCAAAGACATCTACACAGAAGATGCCTTGGCTGCGCAAGCCGTTAGGTGGGATAATCTTCTAAAGCAATTCAAGAGCAACTATGGACACGATGCGCAGTTTGTTTCACGATCCCCGGGTCGTGTCAACATTATCGGGGAGCATATCGATTACTCTTTATACTCTGTCCTACCTATGGCAATAACTGCAGATGCCTTACTTGCAGTTTCCACCCAGACCGACGAATCCGACTCGACTAGTACAACATTCAAGGTGCGAGTCTCGAATGTGCAAGCGGATAAATTTCCTGCACATGAATTCGATATACCATTCGATGCGGTGGAGATTGATTCCAAGGTACACGAGTGGACAAATTACTTGAAGTCGGGACTTCGGGGAGCTTTGGAGATCTTAAGAAAGAAACACGGAGACGGTTTCAGACCCAAGAGTATGGAAGTCTTGATGGATGGAACTGTACCTGCAGGAGGTGGATTGAGTAGTTCCGCTGCTTTCACTACAGCTTCTGCCCTTGCAGTCATGTTTGCAAATGGAGAGCAATCGGTTGATAAGACCCAGCTTACGGAACTGGCAATTGTTAGTGAAAGAGCAGTAGGAGTCAACTCGGGTGGAATGGATCAATCCGCTTCGGTTTTCTCTATTCGTGGCTCCGCATTATACGTTTCCTTTAATCCAACATTGACAGCAAAACCAGTTCATTTCCCAAAAACAAACCCCGAGCTTACATTCGTTATCGCACAATCTTTTGTCGCGGCAGACAAGCATGTCACTGGCCCAGTATGCTACAATTTGAGAGTTGTAGAATGCAGTCTTGCGGCAGCCTATCTTCACGCAGCTATCAACAAATCTAAAGACCCTCTTCCTGCCGACTCCGGACCACTCGGGGTCTCGCTCTACGGATTCCATAGCAAATATTTTGGTGATTCCACCGCACCTCTCGAAGAGCAACTTTCCGAGCTCATTGAAATCACGAAGAAGACATTCACAAAAGAAGAGGGGTACACCAGGGAAGAAATCGCTTCTGTCATAAATATGACTGTTTCCGAGTTGAACGAGCGCTTCACCTCTACCTTCCCCGTCCGCGCCGAGCATTTCAAACTTCGACAAAGAACCCTCCACGTTTTCACTGAAGCTCTCCGAGTCTTAAAGTTCATGAAAGTCCTCGAACATCCCGAATCTTATCTTCAAGCTGACGGTGGTGATTCCACTGAAACTTTCAACAGAAAACTTGGCGACCTAATGAACGAAACCCAAACCAGTTGCAGAGAAGACTTTGACTGTAGCTGTCCTGAGTTAGACGAACTCTGTGAAATAGCAAAGAAAGCTGGAAGCTATGGAAGTAGATTGACTGGTGCGGGATGGGGTGGTTGCTGTGTACATTTGGTACCGGCGGATAAGGTTGATGCTGTTAGAGAGGCTTGGGATAGAGAATATTATTCAAAGAAGGATTTGACCAAAGAGCAAAGGGAGGCGGCGGTCGTGGTTAGCAAACCTGGTAGCGGAAGTGCAGTTTTTGTTGTTGAAGGTGGAAAAGTTGCTTAGATACTGCTTGATATTAATAATAGAAAACCTTGCGGTACCAATACCCAATATAGAATGCACTTCCATTTTTTTATATAGAATTTACAGTAGATTTTATTGCCAATATGAAGTTCACAATAGACAGGCTTGTGACGGTGCATAAATTATTCAAATTTGCATAACTCGCTAGCCTGTGAATATGCATAAATCAATCATGCATAATTCTAGTGTATATATCGATTCACTCATCGTTCCTCGTACTTGAAATCACCAAAACACATCACAAAATGGAAAGTGCTTCATCAGATGGTACGGGAGGGAAGAAACATGTGCGGCAAACTTCTTCGGGCAGAGGTGAGCTTTTTATGTGTTTCATTGGTTGTTGACGGGGGTTGGAAAGTATTGGAGTCCTCTCCACCACATGGGTCTTTTGGGGAGCAAGAGTCGTGGCAGTTTGTCAATTCAGATGGAATGGCGTGATTGTATCTGGAATATTTGGGTGATAAGAGGAAATTGAGGCCTTTCGTTCTCTTGCGAAGTTCATGCGAGTGCGCGACTTTATTGAATATGGTAGAGGCTGCTTGGCACGTGGCTTCCCATGGGGATGCTATGTTGAAGGTTGTCGGTGCCAGTTACTGGATGCAAGTTCAGTACTCTATTTATCTTCACAAGACATTGTTTGCAGGATGAACTTAAGCAAGCAGCATTTGACTAATCGCCCAGCAGCTTTACCTAGACGGCCGACAAGAGGTCCGTTAGATATCAGCGAGTGCGTCCTACTTCCATATATTAAAACGCGAGTGCTAAACTTCAATAGTTCTCCTCTAAATAGCCCTTTGTCGCCCACAAATTACATCAATGCTACACATACACGAACATTCTCGCCCGGTGGTTCAACGCCAAGGAGCCGGACACCTAGGCTTCCATCACCAGGTCCTGGCTCAAATCTATCATCCCACACCTTTATGACAGCTCCCACATCACTTTCGCCATCACAAAATACATCATTTCAGTCAACGATATCAACACTTCAGAAAGATTTCTCCTATCTCCTTCGCCCAGAAATTTATCATCCTCTACCCGTGCTCGAAATTCCGCCACCCTTTCGTTCCTCCCCAGTTTCGTCCCTCCCACCTAACCCTGATATCAATACTCTTTCATCACTCCTAGCGGCGGGGTATTTCAGAGCTGCGGCTATTCTTAGTGCCACACTTTTGACATCCACTCCTGGTCCCGCATCACATGATGAAATTTTTAATCTCTTCTACATCCGTCTTGCATGTCTCACACTCTGCAACCAGACACAACTCGCGGCTCAGGAAGTCAAAGCTCTTGAAGATCTTAACGCTGCCTATTATCAGGACGATGAAACTGGCGCACATATAGTAGGATGGGAACTGAGAGTTTTAGCAGTTAGATTGCAGGGTATGGGGTTAGGGGATGCTAGGAGATGTGTTATGGGATATTATGATTTGGCTAGAGATGCTAGAAGTACGATGACGAAATTGAAGAAGCGAAAAGCAGCTAGTGAGGATTTAGATAGGGAGATTATATTATGGGAAGGCAGGTTAGCAGATTTAGGGATTAGGGTTGCAAGTGCGCTCATTGAGATGGAAGATTTGGTTGGGGCGGGAATTCATTTGAAGACTTTGAAGGTTAATGAAGAGGGAGATGAGGAATTGAGGGCTAAGAAAGCATTACTGTGGCTGTGTTTGGGTGACATTGATGCTGCAAGAGAGTGCTTAAAGAAAGGAAATGGAAAGGAATTTATAGCGAGTAAGATAGATGGAACGATACGAGCTTTAGCATTTGTTGCCGAAGGAAGATATGAGGAGGCTGTTGTGATTTGGGAAGAGCTCATTGCGAGCGAGGACACCACAGCTGGAAAAGGAGAAAAGGCCATGTGGAGACAAAACCTAGGCGTTACATTGTTGTACTTAGGTCGTGGTGATGAGGTATGTATCATCTTGCTCCCCATATCTGTTTCCTGCTTTCTTCCCATTCTCCCAATATCAACCCTGCTACATATCATACTGACAATCCAACCAACAGGCAAAAACCATTCTTGAATCACTGATTGTGGAAGATAATTCATTCCATGCTTTGACTTTCAATCTAAGTACCATTTATGAATTATGTACGGAGAGATCGAGAACGTTGAAAATCGCGTTGGCGGAGAAGGTGGCGGCGATGGTGGATATTGGTCAGAATGAGGGGGTGGTGAGGGGATGGGAGAAGGTTAATGGGGATTTTAAATTGTGATTTTTGGTTTTGCTTGTGGTTTATTGGCTGTGTGGTGGGAAGAGGTTAGAGAAGTTCATAGATATTACAAGTAGTGATTTGTATCTATTTGTTACGTGTCACGCCAGCGAGGTACAGCGAAACCGGTGAAAAGATACTCACCGTCGTAATACATATTTAAAAATTAAAGGTTCTCATACAATGACCTCATCATCGGGATTTATCCATTCAATATACCCATTGAAAAATCATAAAAAATCATAAAACCGTGAAGTCTGATTGTTGATTGGAGAATTCCTTTATGCACAATTTATGAACAGTTCCTTCTTTAACCAATAGTATTGCTTTAAAAGTGAAAGGGACTTTTCCTTTCGCTTCCCCACATTTTGCCCCCGATACCGCTAGAAAATCAGCACAAGAAAAGGGTGGACTGAGATTCAACTAAATATTGAATGTAGGGTGTGAATCACAACTTTGGAGTCATAGTTTTTTTTTAACTTTCCTACAAACTCTTTTTCCCACAGAGTTTTCGCGACCATTATATCCATCTCTCTGAGCAGTAATCAATTGAGAAATACTCAATCTGTTCTTTCCGGAGTTAGTTGAGCCCCCTTGTAATTACTTTCTTCCCTTCTTCTTTATTCGTTGTCTCTTAGGGGTCAAGTTTGGGACGAATCTATAAAACTCTTAAACTCGCAAAGGGGAAAGTGCTCAAGATGCTTCGTTCAATGCCCGCCAGACGTGCTATTCGCACAATTGGCTGTAATGCGAGATGGATGGAGGTTGCTGGTGCGAGGGGCCTGTCGAATCGTGTGAAGGCGGCGGGTGGTATTATGGTGGAAAAGAAAGGCACAAGAGGGCAGGCTACTGCTGCCCCTCAGGTTTCTAGGTATGGCTTCCTCTTACTTTCCTATATCTGCGGAGGGTTTTCTGCAGGTTGGAGCTTCACCGTCAATCAGGAGTTTGAATGAAAGTGAGTCATTGGGATGAGAGTCAGTTGGCTGACATGTGAATTTAGTCAAGCTAGAGAAAGTCCAAGTCCGGCATTCAACAATCAACCTTCGAGTTCGCGCAAGGAATTGACGGGACACGGACATAAATACTCGGAGATGGATGAGTCGTATGTTGTGCACTTTATTCGGCGAGGTGGGCACAACACGGTGCTAATTATAGTATAGATTTATTGGGATGACAGGTGGAGAGATCTTCCATGAAATGATGTTACGGCAAGATGTTAAACATATCTGTAAGTTTGCTACTCTGGCTTTCAAAGATTTGAGCTGACGAGGAAACAGTTGGTTATGCAGGAGGAGCCATTTTACCAGTATTCGATGCGATCTACAACTCGAAACATTTCGAATTTATTTTACCAAAACATGAGCAAGGTGCTGGACATATGGCGGAAGGATATGCTAGAGCTTGTGGTAAACCTGGTGTTGTTCTCGTTACATCTGGACCTGGTGCTACCAACGTTATTACCCCAATGCAGGACGCTTTATCTGATGGAACTCCAATGGTTGTTTTCACCGGACAAGTCGTTACAACTGCTATAGGAAGTGACGCTTTTCAAGAGGCTGATATTATTGGTATCTCAAGAGCTTGCACAAAATGGAACGTCATGGTTAAGAACATTGCCGAGCTTCCAAGAAGAATTAAGGAGGCATTCGAAATCGCTACTTCCGGAAGGCCTGGACCAGTTTTGGTAGATTTACCAAAGGATGTTACTGCCGGTATCCTCCGAAAAGCTATTCCTAGCCACCACATTATGCCATCTCTACCCAGTCAGGCCTCAAGAGCAGCACAAGCTATTCAAAAGAAGCAGCTTCAAGCTTCAATTGACCGTGTTGCAAAACTGATCAACATTGCCAAGAAGCCAATTATTTATGCTGGTCAAGGTGTCATCTCCCTTCCAGAAGGTCCTAAATTGCTCAAAGAGCTTGCCGACAAAGCATCTATCCCTGTCACAACAACTCTTCAAGGTCTCGGTGGATTTGATGAGCTTGATGAGAAGTCTTTACACATGCTTGGAATGCACGGTTCGGCATATGCAAACCTTTCCATGCAAGAAGCCGATCTTATTATTGCTCTTGGAGCACGTTTCGATGATCGTGTGACTGGAAGCATTCCAAAGTTCGCACCAGCAGCAAAGGCAGCAGCTGCTGAAGGTCGTGGAGGTATTGTTCACTTCGAAATTATGCCAAAGAACATCAACAAGGTTGTTCAGGCTACCGAGGCAGTTGAGGGTGACGTTGTTACCAATCTTGCTCAACTTCTTCCAGCTGTTGAGAAGAAATCTATGGATGAACGCAAAGAATGGTTCGACCAAATTAGATTCTGGAAGGAAAAATTCCCTCTCTCTCACTATGAAAAGGCTGAACCAGGTGGTCTCATTAAGCCACAAACTGTGATTGAGGAACTCTCAAATTTGACAGCCGATAGAAAACACGAGACCATCATTGCTACAGGTGTTGGTCAACATCAAATGTGGACTGCACAACATTTCAGATGGAGACATCCAAGAACTATGATCACATCTGGTGGTCTTGGTACTATGGGTTATGGTCTTCCAGCAGCTATCGGTGCAAAGGTTGCGAAACCTGATGCTCTTGTCATCGATATTGACGGAGATGCATCCTTCAATATGACACTTACTGAGCTCTCCACCGCATCTCAATTCAACATCGGCGTCAAGGTCATTGTCCTTAATAACGAGGAACAAGGAATGGTCACTCAATGGCAAAACATCTTTTACCAAGATAGATATGCTCATACCCACAGCACTAACCCAGATTTCATGAAATTGGCGGATTCAATGGGTGTACAGCATCGCCGGTGTATCAAGCCAGATGACGTTAGGGATTCTTTGAAATGGTTGATTGACAGTGATGGACCAGCACTTTTGGAAGTTGTTACCGATAAGAAGGTACCTGTCTTACCGATGGTACCGGCTGGAAATGCTCTACATGATTTCTTGGTTTATGATCCAGGTTCGTACTCACTATTCTAATCCTCGATTTATGATTCTTCTACAAATTGTACCGATACTGATAATTTCAATAGTGAAAGACAAGGAGAGAAGAAAGATGATAAAAGAGAGGACCTGTGGTTTACATGGATAAAAACCTGGTTTCTCTTTTCTTGTAATCTTTTCCTTTTTAAAAATACCTTTTTGCTTTGAGTTTTTACACAAATGATGGCATCTGCTAAAATTGCGTTCTGGGCGTCTTATTCTTTTTGCTGGCATGCATGATGGGCGGAAAATTTCGAGGAATGCAAAAATCTTTTCATCTCGTCTTGTTGAGTCGAACGGTTCTGGTTTTAGCCTGGCTTTCAAATTCCTTCTTGGAAATTGTATGGAAGAATGGAAAACTGGGAGGAGATTGAGTGGAAATTGTTGGGCGTGGGGATGTTTGCGGTTGGCAGTGAACTAGGGAATCAAGTCCGGAGGTAAATAAAAGAAGAATTAACTAGTGAAAGATTAGTGTATGTATATAGGAAGGATAGTAATGGACAGATGGATGGATAGGTAAGATGGATGGATGGATGGACATGAACGAATTGATGGTTACGAGTATTTCTACTTGGAATTAGGGTTTTCTTTTTGAGGATGTGAAGTGATGGGTAAATGATTGATTTGATTCATGAATTAATTGGTAAGGTGACATGGCATGACATCTAACATGAACTTGGGCTTTGACACGATATATTTGTGTGCAACTTTGCGTTATTGTAAGATCTTATAACTTGGGATGGATTGTTACGAAAAGGAGGGAGAGTGGAGAAGAAGGGAGGGAGGGGAGCGGAGGAGAGGGAGGAGGGAGGGGCCGAGTAGCACAAGGGGGTGGGAGAGGGAATGACAGAGAGAGGGGAAGCGGAATTCTTCTATAATACTAAGTATTGATAATGACAACTATATCGAGAGTTATTAGTTTTAGTCTGCTTAAAAAGAGAACGGTGAAAATAAAAAGCTCTCACTAATGGGTTCGGTGTAAAGACTAAGGTTAATAACGATAACAAACTTTTAGTATGTCACGCGACCTATCACGTTATAATTTTTGAGGTTAGAGGAGCCGCTAGCTAAAAAGCATGACTTGGTTAATAGAGGTTTTCTAAGTAAAATAGTCTTGTCAATACTTGATCCATTGGTTATATGAGGGCTGTGCACACCCCGCGTGTCAGTTTTGAAGCATCCAATTGGTCTAGAATACTGGTATGTCATCGATTGAAATCTCTTTCAGGCTTTAACCACTAAACTTATAGGCCAAGTAACACCAAGATTTAGTGCTACTTTTGTATTGTTCTAGGCAACTTTTTAGAGGTTTATCTTATCGAGCTTAGTCATAAATAACCGAGATCCTCTCGTGCAAAAGACCACTGGTGGACCGTTGAACTTTATTTGAACCTCCAAGTGGGACATACAATTCGTCAATTGTTTGCATTCTCACATTCATCGCCTTTGATTGTGATGACAATGGTTGAAATCAGAGTCTCAATATCGTTTTCCTTGTGTTTTTCTATGTCCTATCAAGTGAATGGCAAGAAATCGTCGCTATTTTTCTTTCACTGACTCTCTTGGCCATTTGGCTTCTGCTTGGCTCCAAGAACGTAGAACATTCTCTTGATGCTCTAGTGGTGAGGCTATTCTTGGCTTAGTTTGGTCCCATTTGATAACGGTGTACTAAGTGCAATACTTCGTCATGACGGAATCCCCATTCGCAAACTGCGGGGTACCTCGCAGAAGCTATTTAGAATAAACCTTGTACTACCAAGATCTAGCCTCTTGGTCGTTTTTATTCCATAGATAAGTATAGTATGGTTTGATATCCGTGCCAACTGTGCTATATCTATGTTATATATACAGGACAAAGTTCCCCAGCTTTGGAGGTTCTCCAAGTAAGAAGTTGTATTCCACATTTTTGATATAGTGTCTATACAGTTCTTCAGTTCAATCTTGCCCTGTATGATTGTCTATTCATTTCGACACATCCTATCATTACTCCAACACACAATACGTCATGGCTAAAATCGACACAATCGAGCATGTCTCGGGACAATCGAACAGACCTCTAAGCAAGCTAGCTCATTGCTTAACCTATGAGGAACTGGCACAGGAATTGACAGTTAACCTTGAGGATGGGCTTACCACAGCTGAAGCTAAAACTCGTCTCGAAGAGTACGGAAAAAATGAACTTGATAACGGACCTGGTGTTCAACCAGTCAAGATTCTCATTCATCAAGTCGCCAATGCGATGATTCTGGTTCGTTTACTCATTCCCATTCAGCTTATAGATTGTTTCTCATCATGTTTGTTTTTAGGTTCTGATAATGGCCATGGCTGTCAGTTTCGGTATTGGCTCATACATCGAAGGTGGTGTCATCTCGGCAGTCATATTTCTCAATATTGTGATTGGCTTTTACAATGAGTTCAAAGCGGAAAAGACGATGGATTCATTGCGCTCCCTGAGTTCCCCTACGGCACATGCGGTTAGAGATGGAAAGATCCAAGTGGTACCTACTATTGAAATTGTTGTTGGTGATATGATTGAAGTCAAGATGGGTGACACTATTCCGGGAGATATCCGGTACGTTCGCGGTTCTGCCCCCTTCATTCTTTGTATATACTAACAGATTACATTCAGATTAGTTGAAAGTATGAACTTCGAGGCTGACGAATCAATGATAACCGGTGAAGCGCTGCCAACACCGAAGGATGCAAATGGAGTTTTTGATACCGAAACCCCAACTGGTGATCGTCGCAATGTTGCTTTCAGCTCCACTCCTGTTACTAGAGGCCGAGCACGCGGCATTGTTTATGCAGTGGGTATGAAAACAGAAGTCGGATTGATTGCCAAGTCTCTCGGACAGAAACCACGCAAAATTCGAGAGGTCAAGCGTAATGAAGATGGTAAAGCAAAGCCGCATCGATATGCTGAGGCTTGGGCACTTACCACGACTGATTTTGTCGGAAGTTTCCTCGGCACCAATGTTGGTACTCCGTTGCAACAAAAGTTATCCCGATTTGCTTGTGGGCTATTCGTCGTTGCTGTTATTTGCGCAATCATTGTCTTGGCCGCGAACGGATTTTCCAATAACCAAGAAGTTATTATTTACGCTGTTGCCACGGGTCTTTCAATGATTCCCGCTTCACTGATAGTGGTCCTAACCATCACCATGTCCGCCGGGACTAAGGTAATGTCAGAAAAAAATGTGGTTGTACGCAGGACCAACGCTCTCGAAGCATTAGGCGCAGTTACTGGTAAGATACCTTTCTATTGATAGTAATGTTCAATTTTTAACTTTTGCAGATATTTGCTCGGATAAAACTGGAACTCTCACCCAAGGAAAAATGGTTGCAAAGGAAGTTTGGATGCCGTCTAGAGGAACCTATTCTGTTGGACCCTCCAGCAACCCGATCAATCCTGAGGAGGGAGATTTGTCTCACTGCGAGAAATCTCCATACCAAATGGGTAAAGAGGAGAGTGAAGAAAAGACAGATTCATTTTCAAACCTTTTACAAGACAATTATGACCTTCAAGCATTACTTAATATTGCTTCAATGGCCAATCTTGCTCATATTCACAAAAGCGAAGATGGTTGGAAAGCAAGAGGTGATCCAACCGAGATCGCAATTCAGGTCTTTGCCCACAGATTCCGATGGGATAGGGAACGATGGACGGCCGGGAACTCACCTCAATGGAAACAACTTGCTGAATTCCCCTTCGATTCTAAAGTCAAGAAGATGTCTGTCATTTTCAAACATCGAGAATCTGGGAATTCCATGGTTTTCACAAAGGGTGCGGTTGAGAGGGTGATTACATCCTGTCCACTTGTGAGAATCCGAAATGGAAACATTATCGTAATGACAGAGGGAATGCACGATGATATTCTCAGCAACATGGAAGCTCTTGCCGCTCAGGGTCTACGTGTATTAGCTCTGGCTGGTAAACCATGGCAGGGTCCTGCGAAGATTGATGTGCTACAATTCAAGACTGAAGAAGAAAGAAGAGAAGCAGAGGACAATTTAAGGATGGAAGTGGAGGATGATTTAATCTTCCATGGACTCATTGGCCTTTACGATCCTCCTCGTATAGAATCCGAGGCGTCGGTTCAACAATGTCATCAAGCAGGTATCGCGGTGCACATGCTTACTGGCGATCATCCAGAAACGGCACGTGCCATCGCCGCCCAGGTTGGCATTTTACCAAAAGATACTTCTACCATAGGAAGAGATAGTATGAGTGTGATGGTTATGGCAGCAAGCGAATTCGACAAGCTCAGCGAGAAACAAATCGACGACCTTCCAATACTACCTCTAGTTATCGCACGGTGCTCTCCACAGACCAAAGTTCGCATGATTGAAGCTCTACACAGACGGAAGCTCTTTGTTGCTATGACAGGTGATGGTGTTAACGACTCTCCTTCATTAAAGCAAGCAGATGTCGGTATCGCAATGGGCCTGATGGGATCTGATGTAGCCAAGGATGCATCAGATATCATTCTCAAAGATGACAATTTTGCTTCGATTCTCAATGCTGTTGAAGAAGGAAGGCGAATGTTTGATAATATCCAAAAGTTTATCTTGCATTTGTTGGCGCAGAATATTGCTCAAGCTTGTACGCTTCTCATCGGACTCGTCTTTAAAGATTCTACTGGAATTTCTGTGTTTCCTTTAACACCTGTGGAGATTCTATGGGTCATTATGATTACATCTGGTAGGTTCTGTCAAACTCATTGACTAGATGATTTGCTAACACAAATAAATTAGGTATGCCAGACATGGGTCTTGGTTTTGAAGCAGCAGCACCGGATATCATGAATCGGCCACCTCAATGTCTCAAAAGAGGTGTATTCACCAACGAAGTAATGATCGATATGTTAGTATACGGTCTTTGGATGGCAGGCCTCTGTCTCTCTGCCTTCTCCGTCGTTCTCTTCGGTTGGGGAACCGGCGATCTCGGTTCCGAATGCAACGATGGCTATTCCGCGCAATGCGATACTGTCTTCCGAGCTCGCGCCACTACATTCGTCTGTCTAACCTGGTTTTCTCTCTTCCTCGCCTGGGAAATGGTTAATCTCCGGCTATCTTTATTCCGCATGCAACCGGGCAGTAAGAGATATTTCACGCAATGGATCCACGATATTTGGGCCAATCAATTTTTATTCTGGTCTGTGATTGCCGGTTTCGTGACGGTATTCCCCACTCTTTACATTCCTGTCATTAATCGAAAAGTGTTCAAGCATGAGGGCATTAGTTGGGAATGGGGCGTGGTGTTTGTAGAATCCATGTTATTTTTCGGGGGAATAGAATCCTGGAAGTGGATTAAGAGGGTTTATTTTAGACACCAGAAGAAGAAGGGGAGTGGTGTTGCGAGAAATTTTCAGGAGCTTGATAATGGGAAAGCTATTATGGACATTCTGCAGGCGCAGAGTTCTCATATTACTAGGAAGGGTTCGAACGTGACCCAGGTGGATGAGAAGTTTGGGGATGCTGAGAGTGGTAGTTTTCGTTCTTAGTTTATGTATTTTATTGAATGGATGGTTGGATGGTTGGATGGTTGGTTTTTAATAGGAGGGAGTAGGATACGATAGGATATGATCGAGGCGTTTGGGTTCAGATGTCAAGTTAGAAGATTCAAAAATCGCCTTCGAGGGCGCATGGAAATAGATAAAGGGGGGGGGTTTATGTATGGTTTTTGGACTATGTATGGGTGGAATGGCGGGATTGGGGAGACGGAGGATGTATATCGACTTGTATTCTATGAATCTATCAATCTATCAATTAACAGTTTATTCAAATATCTCAAATAATACTCAAAGTTTTTCTTTTTTCTTTTGGTCTTATTTATATATTTATATAAAGATAAAATTATAAAAGTTATTTTATTTTTATATTAAAAATATTATATTTAAGTATAAAAATATTATATTTAAGTATAAAAAATATTATATTTAAGTATAAAAATTATATATAATAAAGAATTAATTAATTTTAAAAATAATATCTAGGTTTTTAATTATCTTTTTTAAATTAAATAAATTATAGGAATATCAAAGAAATATTTTCAGATGGAATATAATTTGATATATTAATATCAATAAAACATTTTTGTAAAGTTTTACAAACTCATAACTTAGTGTTTTGTTAACTATAAATTGATGTTACGAATGTAGAGCTCTTGCTTGTAATAGTTGCAGGCTTACAACCTATATCGTGGAAACGTCCGTGACAACAAAGGTAGGATATATTAATAATAGCGCCTGTTATATCGTGTGTATTATTCATAATATCTAAATCATCAAGGTTGGTTATTGTCTGTAGTGACAATCGCTATGCTATATATATATAAGGTTAAATATTCGAAAATCAAAATCCTCCATAAAACAAGCGTGTATTAAAGTAATTCAAGCATCTTGCAAAGCATACTCCTCGAATATTATTTTGATTTTCTAGTTCGGGGTTAAGATGTCCCCGCGTGCTCTGTACGAGTAAGTAATTATTCAGACCAACCTAACCTAATCTTAGTTAACCTTAAGCGATAAGGTTAAGGTTAAGGCTACTTACTACTTACTCTGTAGGTTGAAAATCGCTCCTGATCATGAATCAGTATCAGGTACTCCGTACTCTATCTATCTATCTATTCATCTTCTCTACTCTAACCTTAGAAATCTGGTACTCGAGTAACTATCCGTTGTGAAGTTTCGCACTCTGAAAATCTTTAGGCTAGATCTTTTAGGAGGCTAGAGTTGTTGGCTTGAAATTCCTTACCTATGTATGGCTTTGCTGTGTGGATTCTTGTTTGATATACCGCGGTATAGGGGCATTTTCTTGAGGAAACGAAATGCGGTGGATCATAGGGGATGAGGGGGCATGTGGACGGGGGAAAGGGGGATATTAGGAAAGTTTATTAAATTAATTATTCAGTCTGATGTCTTTTTATATTGTTAGTGGTGAGACCGTTTGAGATCTTTTGTCAATACGGTCGTATATATATGAATTATTAAAATATTCTGGTGCTATGTTACATAGATTGATATCCTCGAGATCATCTCCAATCGGACATCGATATCTGATAATGTTTCCGGCGCCTTATTCCTTGTATCCTTTTTGCCCTTTGCGCCGTGAACACCGGAAAACTATCCCAAAGTTTTTATTCCCACGTCAGTTTTCTCCAAATAATAAGTTCATCTGGGTATATTGATAGTCGTAAAGATGCCAGTGCCATATTAATATCGAAAACATTGCACTTGGCGTTTTGCAGGACCGATATAGTCATAGATCAACTTTGCCATTGCAATCTCATATCCCTTTCGAACAAGAATGTGTCGTGCTAATCTCCGCTCTTCCTTGATCAGTTCAAAACCCCATACCTATGATATATCCAGTCAGTCATGATGCGCAGTGCTAACCAGGAAACCAGAGTGACATACCGTAACACTTGACCATGAACCCGTTGCCGATTCCGTTTTATCCTGAATGCAAAGACCCAAAGCCGTCTCCTCCAACCATCCCGACGTGAGAAAATCCTCTCCCTCTTCTACGTCCGCGGTAGGAATATATCTGCTCCGTGTCCGTGTACTCCCCCATATATGATCTTTAAATTCTTTCATATCCCAATTCAATGGTCTAATTTCCGTCGAGCCTGCAAGTCCCACGCTCGAGACTCTTTCCATGGTGAGTGTAGCCAGTCCATTTTCATCTTGTATCTGCGTTGCATGCAGATTTACTTCTGCGAAACATATGCCGCGTCGCAAAAACCAATTCACGTTTTGAAGTCGGAGGATATGTTCAATAGGATCCGATAAACGTTTGTTCTAGAAATGGCCAAGAAATACTTAGTCAGCACGGACACCCGACAAAGTTGATAAGGAAAATAAAGCACTGCTCGTTATCTTACCAGTAACCAAGATCCATTGATATCATGAATATGTTTTTCCGGAGGAGCTGCCATTTTCTCGACCAACTTCTGGATAAGTTTGATCTCCTGGGTAATCTTAGGACGACATACCGGTATATATTTGGAGTCGATCCCGGCAGCCCTTGAGCATGAGTCTACGGAGTTTTAAAGATCCTCATATTTATGCCAAGTGCATGCAAGCGCTGGTGACGAGCCCTGTCACAATGCAGTTTTTTAACGCCATGTGTATTATTATTTTATGATAGGGGGGAATGGTAGTTAACCGTACTTGTCCCGAGATTTTGAATCCTGCGAGCACGATTACCTTGTTCATTCCATTACTCCGTCTCCGTCCTTTAGTTCGAACTCTATACAACATATCTTCAGTCCCTCGTTCATTCCCGAACTTTAACTCTACACGAGCAATGATGTCGACCTGTGGGCCAAATCTCAGTCAAGCCATGGCTTTCAAGCCAACTCCAAATGATTGATACGTCCCCGAAATCGCTAATGGCTTCCAGGTTAAATTCAAATAACACATGTCTTACTGGAGCTCTTCCTGCAGCTTTAACTAACATCAATTCTTGCAATCTTGGTTTCTTGTGTAAGTTTCGACTCAGTGTATTTTGAATATCCACTATTCTAACTTTATAGGTCCAAATAATACGGATCAAGTTCCACCTCAATATTGTCCCCCTACGCCAGAATGTGAGATTATCCGTCTGGAGACACTATGGAATACGTGTCAGCAAAGTCAAGGCTCCTACGTTCCAATGATATGTGAGTCAGGATATTATTGTCCTCACGGAAGTCGGAAGCAGATTCTATGCCCTTCGGGTCACTATTGTCCCTTGGGATCTTTCAAGCCTATTCAGTGCGATGCGATAGCTTCATGTCGGCCAGGAAGTTCCCGGCAATTTCCATTTCTTGGAATCTTTCTGGTGATTATTATTGATATTGTTCTGATTGTTATTGTTTCACTTGGCTCTTCTGTCCGGAAACACAATCGTAGTCCCGTAGGACAGCATTGGACACTTGCAAGCTCTGAAAAACTGGGAATGATGATGGGGAATACTGTATATGAGCAGCTCGAGGAAGTAGAAGCAAGAAATACCAACGTCGATTTCGAGCCCTAACATCCAAGTATCCAAAATTTTGTTGGATCTCTCAAACGATGTCTTGGGACAAGTGCCTTACGTTTTGAAATTGGCTTTGATTATTTAGGACTACGTTTGAAAAGTGGAAAGACAATACTGCACGGTGTATCTGGTAAAGTTGAACCAGGCTCGATGTTGGCGGTAATGGGTCCTTCAGGCGCTGGGAAGTGTTAGTTTGTTTCTTTTAGAGTTTCTATCTCTAAATACTGATCTCTTCAGCAACTTTTGTTCAACTATTGATGGGGAAACTCAAAAACACCTCAGGAACAACTTATGTGAATGGAGATGCTAGGGGTATGTCCGGGTATGTGTATTACATGTAATACATAGGAAACCAGGCTAATTGCATTAGGCTCAAGAAAATCATCAGTTACGTTCCACAAGATGATGTTGTCCTATCAGAACTTATGGTGAGAGAGAACATTCTTCATTCTGTAAGAATACGCCTACCTTGGTCATGGGTTGAGAAGGAGATTGAAAGATATGTTGATGATTTATTGTCTTGTCTCGGTCTCAGTCACATTCAAAACAGCCTTGTGGGTGATACAGTTAAGCCGGTAATATCAGGGGGTCAACGGAAGCGTGTAAGTATTGGAATTGAGCTTGCAGCGGCTCCGTTAGCCCTAGTACTTGACGAACCTACATCTGGATTAGACGCTACTTCCGCCTTGTCTATTATTGGCTTACTTAAAGCTCTATGTAGACTTGGTATTACTGTTATATGTATTCTACATCAACCTCGTGTAGAAATCTTCCAGTCTTTGGATAGACTTCTACTACTTGCTAACGGGCAGGAAATATACTTCGCTACTAACCTTGAGACAAGACGTGGCTCTCGGAAGCTTATTTTCATTGCCATACGGCGCCCGTGAAATATCTTTATGATATTGATTCAGCTGCTGCGTGGACTGGATATACCCTTAACCAACTCGGACTCGATATCAGGTTGGGGTTCAGCTTCTTCTTTCCGTCACTTCTGAACTATAGCTAATACTTCACAGTATGCTATTGATCATCGGGACGTTTTATCGTCTGCTGGCATTCATGGGTTTAGTATATACTAATCGAGATAAGCAAGTATGAACATTGCAAAGGTAGATAGTTGGGGAATTGGAATTTTATTATAAAGCTAGTCCGCGTTCAATACATCTCATTGAATGAATTCTTATCAGTCCTACAAACTCAATGTCGGTAGGGCATCCGGTGTGTGAAAACTGTAGAATCCGTAGTAATAAAATATTCACAATAAGTAAGTACACCCTACAGGAGCCAACAAAAAGCTATAAAATAAACCATCTATGATGGCAATAAATGTATCATACAGAAACGGTCGATTAGGCTCTAAAAAAAAGTTCGTTTAAAATATCCAATCAAAAGAATATAAAAACTTTGGAAAAGGATCGATATGAAAACTAGGCGACGATTCGTTCCCACTTTCATCGTCTTTGACTACTTGCTGTAAACCATCAAATCTACACCGAAATATCCGCCAAATCATCAACCACAGCGCAGGAGCTCATGGCGGGACTCCTCAAGTGGGCCAAAAGTGCCGTCAAACGGGCACCCTCTCCACCACGGCTATACCCAAATGTGAAATACCCTTTTATCAATCCACGAAAAAAGTTTGAAGAAGAAAATTTCGGAATTGAGCGATATTATCCAACGCGCATCGGAGATGTCCTTTCCTCGCGGTATCAAGTTGTTGGAAAGCTAGGATTTGGAAGTTCGTCAACGGTTTGGCTTGCACGAGATTTACAGTCAGTGATGCTTACCCCGACACAAGATGGAGCTACTTCCAACACAGAGCCCATCTTCACGTCGCCGTTAAAATATTTACAAATGATGGCCAGAATATCGATGAGATTGTCATTTATAAGCACATTAGCCAAGGAAACAAATCAAGACTTGGCTACCGCTATGTGCCTGCTGCTCTTGATTCATTTGAGTTGATGAATCGCGGTAGCAAGCATCTATGTCTAGTACATGAACCACCATGGGACAGTTTTAAGGAAACTCCTCGAACGGAGTGGTCGTGATAGCCTCATGAAAGATCTGCTTCGAATAATTCTCCAACGTCTTTTACTAGCTCTAGATTATCTTCACACGGATCGGAAGTTGATACACACGGGTTAATTTATACTTTGCTTTCATGCTAGAATCTTGCTGATTTTAATTGACTTAGACATCAAATCCGATAACATTCTTCATCTTATCGAAGAAAGCTCTATTCCTGCTGCTTTTGAGGAGGCAGAGATTGCTCAACCATCACCGCGCAAGAAAGCGGTAGGTCGGGAAATATATGTTTCCCGGACTCTAGATATGCCAGCATCTATTGGAGAGCCCATACTTTGCGACTTTGGGAATGCGGTATATGGGACAAAAATCAACAATAATGACGTTTATCCTGATGTTTATAGGTGTCCAGAAGTGATGCTTCGTCTCCCATGGACTTACAGTGCTGATATCTGGAATGTTGGCGCTATGGTTTGTGGCCCTTTAATATTCCATACGAAAATAAGGTTGTAAAAATTTCTTTCACTGATTTGGCAGTAGATCTGGGATATCTTCGAGGGTAAACATCTCTTCAGTGGACAAGATCCAAAACGCGCCCGCTACACAACTCGTGCTCATCCTACAGAAGTGATTTCTCTTCTTGGACCACCACCACCAGAGCTCATCAAGCGGGGCGAGAGATCTGCGGAATGGTTCGACGGGAATGGTAAATGGCTTGAACCAGATGAGGATGAACCAGATCGCTTACCGCTTTTGCCTCCTAGTAGTCTTGAGGATGCGGAGGAGAATCTCAATAGGAAGGATAAAGAGCTATTTCTTAATTTTATTAAGTCGATGTTGCAGTGGGAACCGGAGAAGCGAAAGACAGCGAGGGAATTGTTAAATGATCCCTGGCTGACTCGATCTTATGGATGAGCTGCCAGAAGGGGGTGCTTTTGTTCTTATTTTGAGGGGTTAGATGGTAGGATCGACCCAGGATGATGGCAAAGTCGAGGCCAAGTGTTTGTGTTAGTATTTCCGGTATTCTGTATATGCGCGCCTGAATATTGATGTGTATTATGTTTTTCAGAAATATAAACGTACATAGTATTGAAATGTAATATAATAATATTGAATACCACCGGAAAGACATTTAAATACAGATTCTATTGGTCTACTGAAACGAAATATTGGAGTTCCAAAAATTGTTATTTGAAGTATTTACTGAAACTTTTATATCTCGAATTACTCGGGCTAATCTTTGATAAGGGCCAGGCCTAAGCTTTTATATTCTTATCATAAAAAAGTCGATCTTTTGAAAAATATATATCAATTCAATTTTTCAGTATTTTATTTTGATATTTGAAAGATATTTTAATATTTATTCAATTAATAATTATGTATTAATAAAAATACTTTTACTTTTTTCATGAATGAAAAATTATTGAATCAAAATTATAATATTTCAGGATTTTGATTTTTAAAATATTTTTGATTTTCATAATATATTTTGATATACGAAATCAAAAAATTAATAAAATATCAAGTTTTTGATAAATATGTATTATATTTTTGAAATTTGAAGTATATATAGTTATTTATTAGATTTATAGAAATTTTTGAAATATATGATTTTTGTTATGAAAATGTGCTTCGCTAAGCCCCCGGCCCTCCTCAAAGACTAGCTCGAATATAAGTAATAAATAATATGATAAATGTACCACGATTTTTCGAACAAATTTCTGGATTGGGAGTTGATTAGTTTGATATATTTTAATTAGCTTGGCGTTAACAGCCATTTCTGACATCACTGGTGGGTTTTATTATGGGGTTTCTAGGCAAATGGAGTCGGACTACCAAAAAGTTCTGCCATAAGCGAAAAGAATAACTTTCCCCTCCATCACCCATTCAAACGACAAAAAGTAAAAAGTTGAACTGACCAGACAGGGGCTCGAACCCTGGACCTACCCCGTTCGAATTGATCTAAAGGTTCAATTGTAAAGGGATCGTGCTATGAAGACTGTTAGTGAATGAAGAGAAGAAAAGGCAGCGAGTGTGAACTTACATAACCAACTACACCATCCGGCCTGCAGTGAGATTGTGTTGGGGCGCTTGATTTTTGAATATATATATGTGGTTCAAGTGGGGATGGTCCAAGGGTTTGGTCTGCAGTGGGTGGATCCTGTAATGATTGATGAAGTTGCTATTATGTACGATATGGATCGTAGCTATTGTGGGACGATGTGCTTCTGGAAGTCCTCGATGAGTGATCTATAGCTAGTTCTCTGCGGAGTTCAAATGCTATCTTGGTATATTTCGACCTTGAAGAGATCAATGCTCGCAGAACAACTTCAGCCTTACGTCTGCGGAACAAGGCCAAGAAGCCTCTGTTATATGCAGGGTAGTAGTTTTTTCGGATTAGTTATCCGGCTTGATGTAGCTATCCAAGAGTTTGGTGCCGTACAGTGAGAGTTGATATTGTTACACGATTCCATGTTCCGTCATTCTTTTCCCCTCGTCCTATTCATACATTATCATCATATCTATTCTATCTCCATTCATAGTTCTTTACTCCGTTGCTGCTTGCGTGTGGATGAGCGCTGAAATCTATTTTAAATATATGGCAATTCTTCCGAACTCAGGATATTCAATATTCCAGAGCGTAAGACCAGATTAAGCTTTCAATGATCAAAATTCTTTGGATGCTTAATACAATTCTATTTCTATAAATTTAAACATTTTAATTGTATTTAATGTTTAACAAGGATTTCTCATTGTTGGACTGCAGTCAGAATTATTGGATACACTGAACTCTTAAGATATCCTCCCAGACTTTCAACACATGTCACTTAAACTTACCAGCAGCGATGGAATTCGGTAACCGGTAGCTGGTATTAAGTAAGTAGTAAGTCAGATTGTACACATTATTCTCTCCTTCTTTCCTCTCTTTCTTTCTTTCTTTCTTCCTCTCCCCTTTCTACTGAAACATATTCTTGGACCTTTCAATCATCCCTCACATCAGCAATCTCCACAACCATCTAATTCTTCCCAGCTACCTTCACCTCCCACACACCCATTATCTCCAAAATTCAATCATAAAGGCCTCTCTGAAAGCCAGCCTATTGCAATAGAAGCTAGTCTCGAGAATACCCGTTACGTTCGAACTGTTTGATAATTCCTCGTGATTGACGGCTTGCGATATCAAGTGCTAGGGAAGGAGATCCATTAATTTAGAGGCCACATAAGTTCTAACATCCATTTTATTGTAGGTGTTAAGAGTGTCTGGAGTCTAGATTCTAGGCCAGTATGTGAAAGCACTTTAATTTGTTCAAAGTGTTCGAAGCTAATCTTACTATTGAGAGATGCGGTAGGTCGTCCCTGCCGTGCGCCTTAGTTCTGTCCCTTGTTCTTATTGCTAGAATCTCCTTTGACAATTCCGCCATCAAAGGATCAAGAGACTCAAATTGCAGCAACTTAGAAGTACAGATGAAATTATCCAAGCCCTGTACGATAGAGAAGTATCTGATAAACTAACATTTTCAAAGCGAGATGCTCGCAAATCGGTCAACATACACCATGAATCTATCACTCAACGATATTAAAAATACTCGCGATGAGATCAAAATTTTAAGATCTTACATCAAAAGTTATCTTGACAAATTCTAGGACACCATGATCTCTCCAGATACTAATGAATTCATCTACCCGTTCACATCTTTGGCTTCTCAAACTCAGGCAGCAGCAGCAGTAGCAGTCATCTCATTCCGCAAGTATGGCCTAAAGGGCAAGCCCTCGTAAAGTTTCCGACGTCAATGGAATCCTTGAGGTTTATCTAAAGGTAATTAACTGTATATTCTATACCTGGTTGATTTTTGAAAACGAGTAGGTTATAAAGCTAGCCAAAGGGACGTTAATATCGCGAGTGGAAATAAATTGATGTGCCTCGTAGAGCTAAGTATCTACAATACATTGTCTTCTTTAATTCCCATGCTTGTGCTATTGTATTTGCATTTCACATTTCGCATTCACATGTTCAAATGGATCGCTCGGCTGGGAAAAGACATTTATACGAGGAATATATATGTACTCGACTATTCAACTCAATTCATTCCCAATCCCAATTCCATCCCCATTCCCATTCCCAAACGCATCCAATCCAATCCAATGCACCAGCTCACCCGAGCATGAATACCACGCACGCCAAACACCTAGCCAACCTAATTACACCATGCAAATCGAAGAATCTCATGTCAGGTATCCCATCCATCCGAAAAATAATGCATGTGCACAATACAATGCAAGTCCAATCCATGAATCCGATATGGCAAACCCCTAAACTCCATCATGAATATTCCATCTTTTAAAACCCAACTAAGTATCCATCCACTGATCCAAGCACGCTCTGTACGCTATGCTATAATATACCGATGCAACACTACACAGCCTCATCGTTATCCCAATTCCACCAACTGCTTCCTCCTTTATCTCCACTGCCTTTAGTCCAGCTCTTATCTACCACCTCTTCATCATTTCCTACCTCTACAATCTTAGGCATTTTTATCTCTTGCCTCTTGGCCATCTCCTCCTTCCAAATCCTTATCTCTTCATCATATCCCTGCCACCAATCCCAAACATCTTCCATTCGCGCACTAACCACCTTTCCCGTCCACTGATCGAGTTTTGTCGGAATAGCCCATGGCCAGAACGGATCCGAAGGGTGCCAAATATCTTTATTCGAGTACTTAGGGTGACAATACGTTTCACACATTGCCCATTCGGCTACAAACCAAGTTATGAATATTGTGAAAAATAAACCGAACCACGTGAATTTTTTGGTTCCAGGATAGCGGAGGCGTGGAATGGGAATCATGAGGTAGTGTACATTTGGGTTTAGAACGGGGTCTGGAGGACTGTCGAGGAAGAAGGGACGGGATAAAGTCTTTTGGGTCGGAATACCGAGTTCTCTTGGGGAATGCGAATGTGAACCCGAAGATGCAACTTGTTGCTCCAACCTTTCAATACCATGTCTGGCATCACGTATACTGCTTGTTGTATGTTTTAAACTTCGATTCATACGATGGAATGCAAGTTCATCTAACCTTTTTCTCTTCTCTTCATGAGAGAGTGGTTTGCCGCTCTCATCTGTTTCGAGATTGATCTCTATAGTGTCGGGCGCCGGAGATGTAGGCTGATTCGTTAAAAATAAGGAGAAATCCCGGTCGATAGTAGTAGAGTCGTCCACCCGCGCTTCCTTTTCTATACGCTGGAGATCGGCGGCGGCTGAAACGGTGGGAGCACTGTTTATTGGAGTTGGACGAGTTCGTGAATGTGAATGTGATTGGGAGGATTTGGAGAGCTCACTGTTGCGGCGGGGTGACGAAGGTTCCTCTTTGAGGGTTGTATCATTGGTGCGCATTCGCGGTGGTGCGGGGGTCTCGATCCACCCGCCTGTAACTTTTGGGGTGGGCAACAGGAGTGGGTCGATGGGTGCGGATGGAGGTGGAGTTGGTGCTGAATTCGCAAACTTTTCGGAGGCATGCTCGAGCTCGAATGGGGATCTTTCTGCTAATATTCGAGCTTGCGGATCATTATCAGATCTACCGGTACTGTCGCCGCCGCTCCCATTTGTACCTGTAATAGCTTTGGAGAGATTCCTTAAAATCTGAAGAGAATCTTCCTGTTTGGAATTTGGTCCATTCGGGCGCCTCTCGTTCCCGCTGAATACTGTAATAGGAGTTCCATGTATTACCTCTCCTTCTTCCTCCAGTATTGTCTTTTCGTGCATTTGACCTATTTCGCCGTTGTTCTCAGCTCGTTCAAACGACCGTGGCTCAAGATTTTCTAACGCCGTCCGGCTGTTTTCGATCCTTAGTCGTGTTTCATTATCTTCTGGAACTCTCTGGTTGTGGTCGTGTCTTAATCTGTTTTCGCGAGCTCTCTGTATCGCTTTGAGACCGTCTTGCCCCTGGAACCTTCTTTCTAACCGCGACAGAGGTTTCTCTTCCCGCGGCATGACATTCTCTTTATTATTACGCAGACTGCGTATGGGAATCTCGACATGAACTGGATCGTTCCTAGAAAAGTCACCACTTCGTGCTCTTCGTTCCCTGGGTAACCTATTCCGCAATACTCCTTCCTGTCTTTCCTGCGAAATCTTATTATCCTCAGTCTCATATGAAGTGATTGGTCTCCGCTCCTCGCGACGTTGTTTCAATTCCTTTCGCAAACGATCTCTTCGTTCTTGTGATTTAGCACGAACTGTCTCCCTTATCCCAGTCTCGTCCCCTGCTGTCTGCGACAATTTCTGACTCTCAGGTTTAACGACGAATTTATCTTTCCTCGCCGGCTCTTCCCGAGCTTTGACAGCGTTTGCTTCTCCATCTTCCTCTTCCTCAACATCGTCCTCGGCAAAACTTCTCTCATTCTCCATAATCTCCTCAATCCTACTCGGTATACCAGCCGTTTTCAATCGCGGACTGTGATTAAAATCCATACTTCTAGTGGTAAACTCAAGATCCGTATCCCAACCTCTACCAGTCCCATTAGCTTCCTCCTCTCTCAATTTTCCAATGTCCCTTGTAACACCCTCAATATCCACACTGGGATCCTCCCCATCATTACCATCGTCGTCCAAGATTCTCTTTATCCAATTATCCACAGGCGTCCTCGCCGCCCTGGCTCCCCATCCCACGCCATCAGACCCCGTATTATTATCATTTGCACTAAAATTCCCTCTTGCGCGTGGTGAAGGCGAGCTATCGTATCGATGTTGTTTGCTAGGAGCCATTTGGGCGCATATTCATAGGTCTGTTGTTGCAATTGTGTTGCAATGATTACGACAAAGTGGAATTTTGAGGTTCGCGGAATGAGAATGAGAACGCGAAGCGCGTTTTTCCAGTTTTTGAGGGGCGAGCGCCTGGGCTTGGGTATTACTTGTAATCTGTAGTTGGATTTTTGTTTGTGTATTAATACTGGAGTCTAGAGTCTTATGTATTATTCACCCGAGTGGTATAAGCAATTGATCTGATTATGAGCAAATAATCATCATTTGAACAATCGAGAAGTAGTTTTTGATAGATTCACGGCTGGTGAATCCGAGTTTTGCATGTGGCGAGTTATGTACGGTCACCACTTTTCCTCAATGATACCTACATATATATCTAGTAGTCATCCATAATAAAGTCAAATATTGTTAATATTTGAACCATCAGATTAACCTAGGGTGTATAAGACTTCCCCGTCCCTTTCAATATCTTCTCTCTAGATTGATGTCCGTCTATCAATTCAAACCAAACCCCGGTATCATGTACAAGTTCAATATTCAATATACAAAGTACAAGCAAACCCTAATTTTCATGCAAACGATGCCGAAAATGCTTTTATGAATCTTCCTCTCCCCTTTCTAGCTCGTAAAATAACATATAAACCTCTTTCTGCATGTCCAGGACTTCACTAGTCTTACTCTCTTTTATTTTTTCGTCGCTAATTCTCCACCACCTTTCAACTGTCTTCTTCTTTCGCTTAGCACGAACTGTTTCCGTCCCAAACGTCCGACTACTTTCTTGATTGGATGGATATGGGTTGGGGGATGATGATGTAGGAGACGATCGACTGATTGTACTGGATACTTTCGATAGAGTTTTCCGAGCCGAACGTCCTAGAGACCGGATGCTACCAGTATCAGAGTCACGGGGTGCAGATGTAGGACCTGCAGTTTTGGACGACGATGCAACCGAACTAGCCGACGTTGGATTTATGCTAGAGAGGCGTTTGTTATTCAGTGAAGAGTCTATCGAACCGCGCCCATTGATGACTGGCAAAGATGTGGTAGATGCCGTCGTTGGTGATAATAACTCGGGGGTCGATGAGAGTGTGGTATTGTCACCATCATCCCCTGGAGTAGCGTTTGTTCTGGGCGTCGAAAGTACTGAAGGGGTAGAAGTTAAAGATTTGGCATATGCGATTGATGGCTGAAAGGTATTCGGGGTTGAAAATGGAGCAACAAGGTTTTGCCTTCGGAAAGATTCATAATGTCCACTATGATGACTTCCCTTGTGGCATACTAGACTAAGAAGCTTGTACTTCCGTCGTTCCAGTAAGCCTCCAAGGGGTAACTGTTCAGGAAATGCTACCTTCGCGGAATTCTTCATGGTTGTCCTAGACTCAAAAATTGATCTTGAGAGATGAATTGCCATAACCTTTGGGAATTTGGTAATACGGACATGCTTAGCGATTTTTCGCTTGGGCGCGAATTTTGAATCTGGGAGTTCAACATCGAGAAGCTCCTCTTCGGGATTTGTTTCTATAGCAGCCTTCAGCTTGTCTATCGACTTTTGTGTCTTTTTCTTGAATTTCTCCGAATTTGAGCGAGAATATTCTTGTTCAAAGGTCTCCAAGGCATGTACTAATCTACACTTCTCGCACTTAAAATCCTCAATATATTCTGTTTTAAACATTCCGTCAAAGCATGCATTTAAAGTGGTAGAAGTAACCTGAGGCACTGATAACGTCAGAGAACAGAATGTTGTCTGAGTAGGCTTTGGTTTAAAACCACAGGTTAAACATTCGATTTGTGATTCAGAACCACCTTCAAATGGGAAGCCATCCTCGTTATCAAAGTCGTTAGTGGGTTCTCCACCTTGTTGGGGCGACCTAGAGGATGTTGAGCTTGCCTTTTCTGAGTTATGAGAAGAAGCTGATGACGCTTTCGCCGCAGGAGAATCTGTGCCAGGTGTCGCGCTATTATCCAGAGTAAGCTGGGTCAACTTTTCGTTCACAACTCTTTCATCTAAAGTGTGTAACTCTGCAGATGCAGCAGCAGCAGCCTCTAACTTCCTTGCGTGGTTCCTTGCCCTGTGACCTGCATGGTACTCATCGCTTAACCTTTCGGCCACTACTTGGAGAAACTCTTGCGCGTCCTGTTGTTGCCGGCTAATCCTCTGCTTAAAGGCAGCTTCTAACGCAGATACAAATGGCGCAGCGGATATGGTCTTTTTATTCAGGGGTCTTTCGTTCAATGCATCCAAGATCTCTTTCAGACCCGTGGTGACTAAGCCCTTTTGTAGACCTTCTACCTTCCATGCTGGCAAGCCCTGCCGCGCCGGGTCTTCCACAATCTGACTATATACCTCCGAGTTATCCAATGCCCTTCTATGTGTCTCCCTAATGAGATATATGCGTAGGTCGCCTAGGCCAGCGAGGGCCTGGAGTACTGAATTTATAAAACAATCATTGGCAGTATTGATCAAGCCCACCACTCCTTTCTTCCTCGTGTTGGACGATGAGTTCTGTTCGTCCATCAGGAAGGTCGGCGCAAATACATAGACAAGTGTAATTGCAGCAAGAGAGGCGCCCGCGGCATATGTTAGAGTCGTGAATTGTTTTTCTGGCATACTTTCGTCAAACTAAAGATCGTCGGGAATCTCGGGGATATGTCGAAGAGGATGGTGAGCGAATCAAATTAAAGGATGAGACAGGTTGAGGAAGTGAGGGTAATTTAAGAGAACTGGGAGGATTTTCAATATCACTGTTCCATCGCGAGACACACCTTCGATTGAAAGTATCTTGGTGATTTCTTCTGTTTCCAAGGAATAAGGAAATGAAGCTCGTAATAAGTTCTGTACAATAACAAGACCAGGTGCCCGCGGCTAGATTTGTTCCGGATCTAAGTGAAGTAGAGAATTATGCCGTTAAATCCATGGAAACCCTCCTCCGCGAAATTTCGAATTCTTGACTGTCATGAACGACCTGGATTTTAAAATACTTTGAAGTAATAGGTAAGTAGGTATGTACCTGGATGTATTCCGAAATCTCTTATCAATATCAACCGGCACAAATATTAGCACACAAACTTCCATTCTCTCGTTACCCCAGTCTTTGTTTAATGCCGATGTTCCGGAGCTAGTGGAGGGGTGGGTGAAATAAACCAAGGTGTCTATTAAGCATAGCCAAATATTTTTGGCGATTTGCAACGATTATTTGGAGATTCTCTCAACTCATTGTCTCGAGATGGCTTCTTTATTACAGTCGCGGGCACCTTCATGCCTAGCATGCCTTCGCAGGACAACAAATAGCTTTGGCGATGGGCTTCTATTCTCAAGCAGCCAACAGGTTCGAGGGAAGAAGAAGCTTGCGAAGGAAAAGGATCACAACGTTACCATTCAGTTGCTGAAACCTGTGGTAGGAATTGGCAGAAAGGGCAAGTTTGCTTTGCATCTACCCGAGGACTTTAAGTCTCACCCACTAATTTCAATATAGGAAGGATTGTTCAAGTCCCTCCCGGATTGATGCGAAATAAATTGTATGGCAGGGGCTTTGCTGTATATGTGACGCCTGGAGAATCTGGAGAAAACGGCTTGAGGAAACTCGTCTCTCCTCCTGATAGTACTTTCGGCAAGCGCAAAATCAGAATAGAGCAGGTCCAAGATCAGGAGAAGCCAGAAAAATTTCCTAGCGGAGAACGTCGACTGAATCTCAAGAAGGTGGTTGAGCTTGAATTACTGAGCGTACGTATACCTCGATTTTTCCACAAATTAGAGGACAAGATTTGCTGACTGGCTGTGAATAGCCCCAACGCTCCACTGCTATCTTATCCGATTTAATACCACCTTACATAGAATTCTTCGAAACAGCCATCACCATTACCCCTCCATCAAAGGTCTCGCCATCTTTAGCGTCATCTTCCTCCGTCTCCGTCGCGGCCGCCCAGAATAGTACGGGGAAGCCAGAGAAGGTGCCCATCTATGGGTCGGTATCGACTACAGATGTAGCCACGAAAATGAAAACCATTTTAGTTCAGGACTCTGAAGGAAAGCGGGTCGTATTTGGACCAGAAGATATCAAATTTGTCGAAGAGACAGAGGAGAAGGACCGCGTCAAACATTTGGGCATTTATGAGGTTGACATACAACTCAAGGGTGCTACTGATGTTGTTCGAAGGTCTATTAAAATCAATGCACAAGATTAGAGCTAAAGATGAGGCCAACGGCTGTTGAAAAGGACTTGAAAGATACCTAGATACCAAGTCTTCTTTATCGATGTAACACTACATACACATTCCCCAATCTGGGGAAGAGAGTGTACAGGCATCGTTCGATTTCAATAATTCATTGAAAAGTTGTAAATGTCAATGCTCAGCTTCATTCATTCGTCCACTTATGAATTAAAATGATAATATAGAATACTAGGTAGTTCACAAACCTGAGGAATCCAGCCATAGACTTTTGATCACAGGTCTGACTCTTTCCACTTTTGAAAATGGAATGGCTTGTCTTGACATTACACTCCCACATCAACGTTGAAAATATTTATGCACTACATCCTCACATAGTCGCGTTGGGTATGATCTTGCGATGAGCTATCTCCTTGAGTACATATATGCCATGGCCGGAAAAGAGTTTCGCTTCTCTTGGTTGCCCGCCTAAGAAAGTGAATAAGGCCGAGGGGTAAGAAGAATGCAAACCAAGATGCATGATGGATCGGAGGATCTCGCCGTAGTTTCTTCGGTAAATGACATTATTGCCATGGTTATGAGGTCAATTTCAATTTCACCCGCCAGCTGCTACCCCACTTGCAGCAACTTCATCAGATTTTACCTAAATGTATGAAGTTTGCCTTTAGCATCATAACTCACTGCTAACCTTTTATGACCATCAGCTTAAATCGTAAATATTGGCTTCATTTGATCTTTCGCACTCATTACCCGAGTCTCTTTTATCACCTCCTCAGCTAATTCTGATCCATACACATTAACAGTGAGGAGGTGGGAAGAAATAAGTAAAAGGTACGTCACGCCACATCACATTCACTAATAAGGTCAAAGGTCCAACTCGGGGTTCCATATCTTTTTGTTTTCCAAACCAATGAATGTGAATGCCAACAAATTGATATGTTGAGGATTCTATTTGGAAACAACCACCCCACCATTAGCGTCGTTTTAAATGTGACGGTATCGGTCCTGAAAGCCAAAAATACTCCACCCCTCTCGAAGACTTTCTACTAAAGAAAACCTTTTCCATCTGGATCGATTGTTTTGACTCTTTATTGATTCTTTTCCAACAAATCTCAGATACCCCTTTTTAAAATCACCACAACTTTCAAATACTTATACACAGTTACAATCGAAAATATGGGTTGCACAGACGTTCTCAGCCGAAAGTCCGGTGTCATCGTGGGAGATGATGTCCTCAAGCTTTTCAACTATGCTCAAGAGCACAACTTTGCCATTCCTGCTATTGTATGTGATGCCAGCAATGAAAGATCATCGTGAAGGATAACAACTAATGGTGACAGAACGTTACCTCTTCCTCAACCGTCGTAGCATCCCTCGAGGCTGCTCGCGATGCTAAATCCCCAATTATCCTCCAAATGTCCCAAGGTGGTGCCGCTTACTTCGCTGGAAAGGTTAGAAAACCTTCACTCAATCATACATGCAATAACTAATTTCCGAATAGGGTGTTGCCAACGGTAACCAAGAGGCATCCATCGCTGGTGGTATCGCCGGTGCCCACTACATCCGTGCTCTTGCTCCAGCATACGGTATCCCCGTTGTCCTCCACACCGATCACTGCGCCAAGAAGCTTTTGCCATGGTTGGACGGTCTTCTCGACGCCGATGAGAAATACTTCAAGGAGCACGGCGAGCCTTTGTTCTCTTCCCACATGATCGATTTGAGTGAGGAGGAGGTTGACTACAACATCAAGACTACTGCCGAATACTTGAAGAGAGCTGCACCAATGAAGCAATGGCTCGAGATGGTAGGTTAACAAGGAATATGAGAGGTCTGAGAGTGCTGATTACTAATTCATTCCACAGGAGATCGGTATTACCGGTGGTGAAGAGGACGGTGTCGACAATGAGGATGTTGACAACAACTCCCTCTACACTCAACCAGAGGATATCCTTGCCATCTACCAAGCTCTTTCCCCAATCTCACCATACTTCTCGATTGCCGCTGGTTTCGGTAACGTTCACGGTGTTTACAAGCCAGGTAACGTCAAGCTCCGCCCCGAGCTTCTCGGCAAGCACCAAGCCCATGTCAAGCAAGCCATTGGAGCAAAGGAAGACAAGCCAGTCTTCTTGGTCTTCCACGGTGGATCTGGATCTTCTAAGCAAGAATTCTTGGACGCCATCTCATACGGTGTTGTCAAGGTCAACCTTGATACCGATATGCAATTCGCTTACCTCAGTGGTATCCGAGACTACATCCTTAAGAACAAGGATTACCTCATGACCCCAGTTGGTAACCCAGATGGGCCAGATAAGCCAAATAAGAAGAAGTTCGAGTAAGTGTTTCCTGAATCCTTGACAACAGTATATACTAATACTATGGCAGTCCCCGTGTCTGGGTTCGTGAGGGAGAGAAAACCATGTCCCAACGTCTCGCCGAGGGTCTCAAGGATTTCAACACTGCAGGACAGCTATAAATTTATTATGATGACTAGCGAAGATTCAAATTGCGTTTAAAAGATTTACACGGTTTAGGACATTGTTATGAAATACATAGCGAAAGTGTGGAGAAATGGTGGTTGGGGCGGAGGAGTTTTGGTCAAACCTATAAATGCAAAGAATAACTCGTGAGGAAACTTCCTGTTATAATTGACACGATTTGAATGAATGAATGCACGTTAAGTTTGAATTTGATCCGAGTACTTGGGATGACATGAAAGGATTTTACGATTTCGGAAGGAGAACAAACCGGGCGAAACTTTCACCCTAATTAAGCGCTTTTATCAGGTTCGAATGTTTTATTAGCCTCCAACTATCCATTTGGCCGTTCGGACTCCCCTGAATCAAGGTCAATGATTAGCAATAGCAAGGAAAACATCCAGGCCGCGTTTCCTAGGTGGCTTATACATTCCACTAAAGTGTTATTCACATTGAATCGTAATAATACGAGCTCACACTTATAGGCCAGACGTGTCTTCTGGAATGGTGGTGGCAGTAGTAGTAATTTCGGTGGGTTAAATTCGTGGGTACACTGTAGGAATAATCAAAAGTAAGTTTTGGGATTGGGATTGTGGTTTAGGGTTGATTGGGTTGATTGGGTTGATTGGGTTTGCTTTAGTTATCCACTTTACGGGGTAGGTAGGTAGGTAGGTAGGTTACTGGTTATGATGTGATGTTTGGAGTATGGATATAGTTTTGGAGAGTTTAGGTGAGTAGGGAGTATATGTTCTTTAAATTCAAATATATTGTAGTGTATTGCATATAGCAGAGTTTTGCAGGTGCACGCGAATATATACTCGGTACCTAGGTGACAAGTACATCATACTTTGAATCTGCTGAGGTAAGTCTTAAACCAACAGCACTAATTCCATTTATATATCGACTTGGTACGTATCTTTCTTTCTTGTTTTTCTGCATCTGCAGGTACAGAGGACAATCAAGGTATTAGCAAGATTCTTATGGATCCATCCTCCCATCAGCCAGTAGAAACAGCTTCCCCAAAGAACGGAAGACATACTAGACGGGTTACATGTTTTTATTTTGGGCAGTGCTGTCTGTCAGTACTCCGTGGATGACGTTCTCCACAAGCGAATGGGCCAAACTACCAATTTGAGGGGCAAAAGTCAAGCTAACAAGCTCCGCAATTCCACCAAACTATCCCCCCCCCGGTGAATTCTAAATGCCCTTTAATCCATCCATCACACTCCATCCATCCATCCATCCATCCATAACCCATCGTTGGATAGTGGACGTAGTACTAATATCACAAGGACAATCCTTCCTTTTCCTTTTCCTTTTCCTTTTCCTTTTCCTTCTCACCATCAAACATTCTTGTTTCTTCCCATTCTTCTACAATTTGTTCAGCTGTTCATTGATCCTCTTGAATTCTATACTTTATAATTAAATTGATGTAAAGCACTATTCGTTTAAAATCGATTATCTTCTTTCTACAACTGAACGACCGCAACTCGAAATTCATTCACAATCTCTAAACCTCCTTGGTTTTAAACAGACCCACAATCCTCCAAAACAAATCGAAATACAATACAGATGTCTTCAAACGAAGCTGAAGGGGCAGGAGTATCTGCGCAAAATAAAGGATCTTGGAGCGCTTTCCTTAAGTCGATCGCTTCATTCAACGGGGATTTATCTTCGTTGACAGCTCCACCATTCATTCTATCATCGACATCGTTGACTGAATTCTCTTCATATTGGGCAGAACATCCCAATCTATTCGTCGCACCTGCCGCAGAGCAGGATCCCCAAAAACGAGCACTTTTGGTCTTGAAGTGGTTCTTGAGTACATTAAAACAACAATATGCGAGTCGAAGTGATAAATATGGAAATGAGAAGAAACCTTTAAACCCTTTCTTAGGAGAGTTGTTCCTTGGAAAGTGGGAGGATTCTTGTGGAACCACCGAGCTTATTTCTGAGCAGGTCAGGTATGTTTTCTTCTACATATGATTAATCTGCCATCTCTAATGTTGCCTTTAGCCATCATCCACCTGCTACCGCATATCAAATCTCCAACAAGAAACATGGCGTATATTTACAAGGATACAATGCTCAAAAAGCTTCATTCTCTCGAACCATCAACGTTAAACAAATCGGACATGCACTTTTGAGTATTCCTGCTTACGACGAAACCTATCTCATCAGTCTTCCAAACCTTCACATTGAAGGTTTAATCTTTGGTTCCCCATTCGTCGAGCTCGAAGCCAAATCTTACATTACAAGTAGCTCAGGATTTACCGCCAAGATTGATTATAGTGGCAAAGGATGGTTATCTGGCAAGAAGAATAGTTTCACCGCTACATTATATCCCACTGGCAAAGAAAAGGACACTCTCTATACCATAACTGGACAATGGACCAAACAATTTGAGATCAGAGAAGGTGGAAAGAAGAGTGATCCGATAGATACTTATGATGCAGATGCTACACCTACCACTCCACTCATCGTTGCACCAATCGAAGAACAAGATCCATTGGAGTCGCGGCGTGCCTGGTCCAAGGTCGCAGCTGGTATCGCAGCAGGTGATATGGATGCAACTAGTAACGAGAAGACCAAAATTGAAGTTTTTCAACGAGAACTTAGAATAAAGGAGAAGAGTGAGGGTAGAACATGGGAGAGAAGATATTTCACCAAGATGGAAAATTGTCCAATCTTGCAAAAATTGGCTCCATGTATCCAATTATCAGCAGACGAGGATAAAACTGGTGGAATTTGGAGATTTGATGAGACAAAGGCTTCCAAACATGTCAAATCGGAACAGACTCTACAACCTCAACAAATAAATGTACAAGTTCCGGTTGCTTAATTGCAAAGTATGATGGAAAGGGTGTATGATGAACACGGCGGCTGCTTGAGCTATTCTCGTCCACTTCAAGATATGATGACGAGGTGAATAATGACGTAATTAAGGATTGGATTGTTGGTGGAATGAATATCTCGAATTGAGAATTGGTATATGTGTGGCTGCAGTCTTTTTTGGATGGAGGGAGTGGAGGTGGTGGTTGTACTCGTGCTCATCATAGATTCATGGGGGAAGGAGGAATCCTTTTATACTACCTATTAAGACTACTTACCAAGTAACGAAACGAGCTTTTTTATTGAGTTTCATGTAGATGAGAGGAGATGAGATGTTAGGACAACAATGAGAATCGCAGAGTAAATACATACATGAAATTCAATTGGATTGTTTTAAAGGTGTTTGCTGATGTGAGTATTAATGTTATGATATACAATATCAAAAACCTTTCCTCTCCCTTTCAATCATTTGATTTAAATTTAATTGAAACACAATTTGAAATATATTAAAACAATATATATAAAAATATAAATAAAATATATTGAATAAATTAATTACTACAAATAAAAATTCAAAAAAGATATTAATAAATGTAGAACTATTATTAAAATAAATAAGATTTATATGCAATTTGAATTCTAATAGTTATTAAATTTTTTATAGAATTATAAGTTCATTTTTTATATTTTGAAGCTATACAATCTATCTCACAAGTCCGTGCACCCACTAGTGGGCTACACTGCGAAGCATCTCACTTACAAAAACTGCATTTTGTCTTTGATTGAAAAGTTAATGTTTGAAATTACATTATAGCTCGCGGTAAGGAAGCTTCCATCCTAGATCTGCTAGCGAATGGTGCATACCCTTGCTGATTATTGACTCTAGAAAGCAATGGCGAAAGTCAACATTGGCGGATGAATAAATAAGCGACATCCAAAGAAGCTACTTGCGAAGACTAAGACTTGAGCGAAGCAACATAAGCTTTTCGATCTTCTTGTAGAGTTGGACTTGGGGGTATGACAAGCTGTTGGAGCTGAAGAAAGCGAGGAAAGCGAGGAAAGCGACCGGCTAGTTGGATGGGAACCTTTGATGCATATCCCCAATCAATAATACTTTCATAGTTAGCAATATCACCGTAACCAGAGATGACATCATCTACTTACCCAGTAACGTTGAGTTCAGAGTCAACTATTATGTTTAGCGGTGATAGATCGCCATGATCTATAGCGAATGGCATATCCTCTAGTTCAGGATGAAGCACCGTAGGCAGAAGGCTTTTTTGGTCGAAACAGTCCTGCTCAGTGATAAAGGGAAGGTGCCCATTGGGAACTCGGCGGAACTTGTCATCTATTATTCTCGAGAAATACGCTGTGGCGCTTCCCCCTACAATAAATGTAAGCATTTGCATTTGAAGGAAAGTGGCTGATATACTATTTTCTCTGGTGCACTTAATGAGCGACATCTGTATCTCAGCGACTTGAGCAAGGATTTTATTCCGAACAGGTCTTGGTGGATAGTTGGCAGTCCATGGAAGGGGAGAGCGTTCAATCCATGACAATACTATGAACTGGTATCCAACCAAATTTTCGAATGTGCAGCTAGATCCATGATATTTTAGAGCCTACGAAAGTCCGTTTCACCAATCTCTCGAAGCACATCTTGCTCTTCTTGAAGAACGCTTATGGTTGCCTCTTGAGAATCGCTCTGGACATGGATTGGAATATGTACAGACCAGTTTTCTCCATCTGAAAAGTCTACCTTGAAGATACGACACTCACCATATACCGTGCATTCAAGACTGGGACTTCGCCGTCAGGCCGGAAAACAGAGACGGTGGTAGGTATGTTCTCCGGATGGAAGGTTTGTATTAGTTTTTGTGACATTATGACATTATCACATTATCACATATGAATAGAAGTAGAGGGGTTATTGTCGTGAGGCATTAACAAAACAGGCAAGGTAGCATTTGCTAGCCGTGGGGCGCAGCATATAGTAGTCTTACTATAGGGCATAGGGCAGAGGGTATGATAGACGAGCAAGGATACTCTCCTTTTGGTTCTTAACAGAGTCTTCGAATTTTTATTGTGAAATTAATAAATATCGCACAGCATTATTTATGCCTTCACCCACAAATTATTTCTTAACACTTTCAAGAGCTGAAGACAATAAGCACGTGTACAGTAAGTTACAGTCGTCGACTGCAGCGTGTGGCTAAACAATGAACTGTTGCTCAATTATCTACCAAGGCACTCCCCTTATATCACTTATCCTCTCACTGCGCCAAACAATGGTGACCTGGCAGAGTTTTCACATATTCCTATGCAGCTTTTGACAAATCAACTGACACAAGGTGTGTGCTATAGCTATCATCTGTTGTATCTATCAGTCCAAACTTATTTTTGTAGGGGATAAATTCTGATGATGCGACTATTGAATCACTTTCCGCACTGTATTATATCTATTTATCACCCTACTTATCGGGAAGTTTATTAATTCCTCTACTTGATTGAATCTTGCTTGGTCTTATTCGGCCAGATATTATCTTACTAAGTGAAGTTTTTAATAAATAAATATTTTTATTTTTTGAAAATTTGAAATACTCGTATAATAAAATAAATATTATTAAAACTTTTAAAACTAATTAAATAATCTTAAACTAAATCTTTTATAGGTTTATTTAAAAGAAATTAATTTCATTATTATTTTAATATTATTATATTTTATATTAATTATATTAATTTTTATTTTGAAAATTTTATATTATATTTTTTAATTATTTATAATTAAAAATATATTTTAAATTTAATAAACAAAAAGTATATATAATATAAAGAAATCAATTACATATAAAAAATATAAATATTTTAAATCTAATAAAATTAAGATTATAAATATTGATTAACTTCAATTATTAATTTTATTTTATAATTATTATTATTATTGTAACATACAAGAGCCTCATAAGAGCTGAATAAACAAAGTCAATTATATTCCTTAGAATCTACAACTGAAAACTATAACTTGTAGGGAGCATCTATATTTATATACAAAATACCTATACAGTAGCTGCACGGTTGTGCACATCGGTTATTAAGGTGATCATAATCCCATACTAAAAAGAGTAAATCAAAACGCAAGTGCACAGCCTACCAGCTCACCGATAGGAATTGTCGATCAATTGGAGTCACGTGATCATCCTTTATACGAGGTCCGTGACAATTATTATTATTATATTATTAAAATATTTTATATAATAACAAAATTAATTTCAAATATATAATTATTTGAAAGAGTTAAATTAGAAATTAATCTAGTATTGATAATTTTAATTTAAAATTATAAAAAAAAAATTTCTTTTAATTAGACTTAATCAATTTTAGATTTATTTATTTTTTTAAAGAGATCAAAATTAATAAAAAATACTTTTAGAAAGGTTTTTTGGTTTTTTTTAAAGTTTGAGTTTTCAAAAGATATTCAATTAAGAGAGGTCATGATCGGGCCTTGTGATATACAATAAGAATCGGCCTTCAACAATATTCTCCGGGATATAGAACCGTGGAAAACGAGGTGTTATTGAATCTTTATATTCTCTGATTCTTCCAAGTCTAGCCCTTTTTCCACAGCTCTAGGGCTTTAAGGATGCATAAGATTCTAAGTAATTCCAAATGTAGTCTTATATTGTTCTGGATAAAAAAAAATTTAGTCCTCGATAATTTAGGTTACATTTCAGTACCGGAATATTTCGACAAATTAATAATTAATGTACTTTTGCTTCTCAGTCTGCGAGCTTGGATTTTCTGAATTGATACTTTCTTAGCTGGATGAAGGACACCTTTAATAGGCGTCATTTCTGGTGAAATGATATTTTATACTTGGGTAATCCAATGTCACTATTAGAAACTATGTGAGGATTTTGGCTGTTGGGATTAGCACCAGCTTTCAGAAGTCACAGAATCACTATCTTCTCTTTTCTTGATGAGAGTTATTCCTCACAGATAAGTCAAGGGCTTTGTTTCCATGATTGTCCTTGTGGTTGAATATAACAATTTGTCTTTACTCAAGTAGCACTTTCGTTGAGCTTAAGCTGAGATGGCCACGTTGAGCGAAGGGAGTTGGGAAGGTTAGCCAGTGTTTTCCGCCAAATTGATATGGCAAGCAACGTAAAGGTCCCTCCTAGACGGATAGACTCACATCTCCCGTGAAGTAGCATATAGCAGCTGCCACACTTGAACCTTCAAAAACGTTCGGTCTTTCGTACCAGAAAAGCTAGAGACGTCAGCAAAACATTTCAAGTATCAAACAACACCACAGCCATCATCACTAAAATACATAGCACTATCTCTGACTGGCTCATCGCTAACGTTTCCCCATTCAATTTTGAACCAATGCTATTCTGCTTCGGAAGAACCATGGAAATACAGCTTCACATCCACTAACTTCGGGACAGGAAGCTCTCCATAGTTTTCTGAGCCCCGGAACCTTTTCACGGACCGCCTAATGCGTTGTAGTTACGCGATCGTGAGCTTTTGAAAGTCTCATCTTCTTCATCACTAGATACCTAGCACAGCTTCGGAAACTATATTCAAATACTTGTGGCCAATCAACACGATTCGTTGTAAGAGACGTCGCTTATGCTGAACATGTCTTGGAGAAAGTATTCAGTTCTCAAAATATGCAGGACTTCTGGGGCGTCATCATACCGCAAAGCCCATAGAATACCGTAGAACAGAGATTATCTCCTATCACATTACTCGGGTGGTAACAGATCCATTCGACAATCAAAATGATGGTTCTAGGGGCCCAATAGTCTTTCACCAAAATGATCGTATTTAGCACAGAAATTGGCTTGTGGTTCAAACATCTTTAGAAGAACACATATTCCAGTCAGGCTCTTCCATGATTTCACTCATTCTTTTTTTAGATTTGGCTCAATTCTATGTGATGGGATCGACTTCTTTGACGAAACTTGTACCCAGTACCATATACGAGCAAGCTTCGCATAGAAACTGCAGGTGCATGACGCCAATATATACAATAAGGTGACAGAAAAAAGCAAGCGTAACGACGTTACTGATTATGCACATATAGTTCTCCAGGCAAACCATGATTTGATATCACTGAAAGCCAAAACAAAACAGAAGGAAAACAATTACCTATGCGGCTGCGCTACGAAAACAGGCACCTACTTCAAAGCTAACAATTCGTTTATCGTCAATTGAGAAAGTAAAGAGTAATTAATATATACAAAGAATATCCACATCTTCAACATTTAAGTCCCACTTATTCTAAATATTAGATATACTTGTCAGAACATCTAGTTTATCGTTCTCACCCCTCTTACCATGTTGTCTACTAACAGTGGTAATTAGAAAACTTATGGTATAAGAAGCGAGGTCTTGACCCCGGAAATTTTCCTTCGCGAAAACTGTGGTGATAAATAGGTCTTCATCCTGAGACTTTTGATAGATGTCACAGCAGTGATTTGACTCGATTCAAGAGATTAACTGAAGTGACCGCATTTTACGGTCTGGGTTAAGATGGACCATCAAGGTAATATCACAAATGCTCATGAATTTATAGAAATAAGAAACAAAGTCTTCATCAAGGCATGCTTGAAACAGAGACTTTCCGTTGTGTGCCTATGCATAGATGGAAAATCAAAGAAGATTCAAGATATCGAAGGACATGCTTTAAATTAGATATCATTTTGGAAGAACACCCACGGGACCTTTCAATACGCCGAAAATTTTTATACAGCGAGATATAAAAACTGTGTGAGTACAACTTATACTCAACCAGCAGCAATCTCCTCTTCCTGGTCTTCCCATTCTCCTTTCTCCTCCATCTCCTCATTCAGCTCCATCTCTCCATCTCCTTCTAGACCTTCACTATCCCATTCATCTACATCCATCTCATCATCATCTTCGTCATCATCCTCGCCACCCTTCTTATTACCAGCTTTAGCCTTCTTCTTTCTTTCAACATTCTCTTTTTGTATCTTCTTGCGTAATGCCTTTTCTTGCCTTCTCTTCTCCCAGACTTTGTCCATTTCTTTGACTTCTTCCTTGGATTTATGAATATATTCGTGCCACATAATCTTTCCATCACATACGCCTTCTTCGACCTTTGTCATTCTTAACTTCATCCTTGGTCCTAATTCCACTAATTTGATGGCCCGTTTTTCAGCGCCACTTTTGACACCCTTGGCTTGTCCATCACGAGTCTTTTCCTTTTGACGTTTATTGAGTATCTTACGAGTGCGTGTCTCAACTACCTCGACTTCCGCATCGGTGTCAACCTCACTTCCACTTGTAGCATCCGTCATATATCCAGCACCGTCTTCTCCAACCATATAGTCGGCAATATCTTCTAACTTTCCAAGATTTGGCAAACCTTTCCTTGGATTTTTCGATTGTAGATATTTCTCGGCAGCGTTCAATCGCCTTAATGGTCTTGAAAGACCTATTTGCTTAGTTGTGATTGCATAGTGACGAAGGTTGATGGTATAGGTGCCATCATCTTCACCTTTGGTGGGTTCTCGATTGAGAAGCATAACTCTGCGGATGGATGTTAAAGGTGTAATATTAGGAGAGATTGGTGGGAAGAGAGATTGAAAGATGGTGGTTGTAAGCGATTCGAGGTGTCTGGGTATCTTTTTGTCTGAACTCGATTCTGATGCAGGAGATATGAAATTATTCATAACGAGCTAAAAAGATCAGTTGCAGGCCCAGATGATTGATGTTGTGAACGTACCAATGGAGGAGTGGTGTATTCTTTTCCACCACCCTTGGGATGTTTTAATGCTTTTCTCACATCCTTACATAAAGAATATTTCTCTACATTGAAATGTAATGTTGGACCTCTTGGGGTAAGAGCAAGTCGCATGTTTGTATTTCCAGCCTCTGACCTTGAGAACAACATGAGATGACTGACACCCAAAGGACCTGCCATTGTAAGATAATCTCTCAATCTGTTTGCTCTTCTCTCCTTCAATCTCGATGCCGTATCTGGTTCCATCATCCGTCGAACATCCCTCACCAATTGACTAACACTTGGTCCAACTTCTCCAGCTCCAGCTCGAATCACCATACTTTTCGGGGATCGTGAAGCCTGACTAGCAGGAGCTGACTTTGCTCCAGCTGGTCCATTGTTGGCACCGACATGAGTGCGCTTCTTAGTTCGTCTTCTTGCCATTTTTGAGTATTGAATTGTATGATGTTATTTCTGTAGGACTTTCTCGTACTAATATTTTCTTAAAGGTAGAAACTTTTTTGCGCGGCCAATCAGATAAGCGGATCCGATAAGCTGATTAAAAAATTATTTTCTCGAAAACTAACTTAACCCGGTCTTCCTTCCTTCGTAGCTCTTCACAATCAGTAACATCACATAATTAAAAATATTGCACCTATATTGAAATCACTTATTGATTGAAGAATCTGGCTCAAAATACGCCTAAAGTTTGGATCTACATTGTACAATCATGCCTTCGGTGAAGCGGAGGAAGACCGAGAAAAATACATCTTCGGGCTTGAAATCGAAGCAAGCAAAAGAGTCAAAAGAAACCTCCCCATTAGCTTCGCCGGAGCCAATAGAGGAGAATCAGAACAATGAAGTAGAGGAAGGGGCGGAGGAAGAAGAGATCGCAAAGTCATTCAAAGATTTAGTTTGTAATTACTTTTCTATCGAGAAAAATGTTTACTGACAGTTCCAGGGTATCGTCGATTCATTATGCGAAGCATGCGACACCTTGGGATACAAAGCTCCAACTCATATTCAAAGGGAATCTATACCACTCGCACTTCAAGGAAGAGATTTGATCGGCTTGGCAGAAACGGGAAGTGGAAAAACAGCTGCGTTTGCGCTACCAATTCTCCAATCTTTACTTGATAAACCACAGCCTCTCTTTGGATTGGTTTTAGCACCGACTCGTGAACTTGCATATCAAATTTCTCAATCATTCGAGGCCCTTGGATCTGTTATCAGAGTAAAATGTGCGGTTATAGTAGGAGGAATGGACATGGTTCCACAGGCAATTGCTTTGGGTAAAAAACCTCATATTATAGTCGCCACTCCTGGTCGTCTTCTTGATCATCTGGAAAATACGAAAGGCTTTTCCTTGCGATCACTGAAATATCTAGTTATGGACGAAGCCGATCGATTACTTGACCTCGATTTCGGACCTATTCTGGATAAAATCCTCAAAGTTCTACCTCGGGAGCGCCGAACATATCTCTTTTCCGCAACTTTCAGCTCCAAAGTCGAAAGCCTTCAACGAGCAAGTTTGAAAGACCCACTCCGAGTAAGCATCAGCAGCAACAAATACCAGACTGTCTCGACTCTTATTCAGAACTACATATTCATACCATTGGTTCACAAGGATACATATTTGATATACCTCTTGAATGAGTTCGCAGGACAATCCGCCATTATATTTACACGGACAGTCAACGAGACACAGAGAATAGCGATTCTGTTACGAACCCTTGGATTTGGAGCCATTCCGCTACATGGACAACTTTCACAGTCTTCTCGCTTGGGCTCCTTGAATAAGTTCCGTGCAGGTTCAAGAGAAATCCTTGTTGCAACTGATGTCGCTGCCCGCGGTTTGGATATTCCTTCAGTTGACGTTGTATTGAACTACGACATGCCACAGGACAGTAAAACATATATTCACAGAGTTGGACGAACCGCTCGTGCAGGGAAATCCGGACATGCAATTAGTTTCGTCACGCAATATGATGTAGAAATTTGGATGCGCATTGAGGCTGCATTAGGCAAAAAGCAGGAGGAATACCAAATTGTGAAGGATGAGGTCATGGTATTCAAGCCTAGAGTGGAAGAAGCTCAAAGGCACGCTAGGAATGAGATGAAGAATTTGCACGAAGATAGAGGGAAGAGGGGTGCAGTGTTGAAAGGAAGAAGACCTGCAAATGGTGCTAAACGAGGTCGTGATGAAATGGATAGAGAGGAAGGCTAACCAGGCACATATTTGTGATAGTGGGAAAGTAAAAAGTTCAATACCCAATAATATAATGTCTCGATGTATTTGCAAATTCCTGATTTTCTTTGAGTGTTGTTTGCTGTCTGTTGTGTCTATTGTTGATGAAGCCCCGGTGAGGACCTCGGTGGTGGTTTATGCCGAGCCGAGATCGCCAAAATTCTGGGGTAGCGGGGCAATTATAATAACAAACATCACTCACAAGATTCGGCTCTGGTCATCCTCCATTGTACATAGATTTTTTATTATGACCAATTTACTTTGTTCGAGGTCGCTCATTGGAGCTTCCCGTATATTCTCAAGTTTCAATGGTTTCACTCCAGCGGTCAGACAAATGAGGCGCAGAGGATTGGCAGATGCTTCTTCAAATGATATGACTCTCCCTCTGAAAGGGTATAAAGTACTGGACATGACCCGAGTGCTTGCAGGCGTAAGCTAAAACCCTGTGACTTCATAAGAGGTTTCTGACAATCCACAGCCATACTGCACGCAAATATTAGGAGATCTTGGGTATGGTTTGCTATTCCTCGGGCTGTCATTCATACTCACGGATATAGTGCAGAAGTGATAAAAGTCGAGCACCCCACCATGGGTGATGACACTAGACATTGGGGACCTCCTTACGCAAAATACTTGGATGGCTCGGGTAAGGAAGGGCCGGGAGAAAGTGCATATTTCTTTGCTGTAGCTTGGCCTCATACTCTCGTCCATCGCAAACTCCACGGCTCACTAATCACTAGGTAAATCGAAACAAAAAATCACTAGGGCTGTCCTTTAAACATCCATCGGGAGTTAAAGTTCTTCATAAACTCGCTGCAGAAAGTGACATTCTCGTTGAGAACTATTTACCGGGTACATTGAAGAAATATGGGATGGACTACGAAACTCTGCGAGAGATCAATCCGCGACTGGTATACGCTTCTATTACCGGTTATGGCCAGACAGGTCCGTATAGTAAGCGAGCCGGATACGATGTTATGGTAGAAGCCGAAATGGGGTTGATGCACATCACGGGAAGTAGAGATGGACCACCCGTGAAAGTAGGGGTTGCCGTAACTGATTTGACGACCGGCTTGTATACTAGTAATAGTATTATGGCTGCTTTGTTGGCAAGAGGAAGGACGGGAAGAGGGCAGCACATTGATGTTGCTCTATCTGATTGTCAAGTTGCTACATTGTCGAATCTGGCGAGCTCCTGTTTGATAAGCGGGGAGAAGGATGGGGGAAGATGGGGGACTGCTCATCGTAAGTGTTTCTTGATCTTGTTGAAAGCTCTTCCTGACAATAGTGTTAGCATCGATTGTACCATATCGTTCGTATAAGACGAAAGACGGGGATATCTTATTCGGCGGAGGAAATGATAGATTATTCGGACTTCTGTGCGATGGGCTTGGACGTTCAGAATGGAAAGAGGATCCAAGATTTGTCATTAACACATCAAGAGTTGCGCACCGAGCAGAGTTAGACAGCTCTATAGAGAAGATCACGCAAGATAAAACCACTAAACAGTGGCTAGATATTTTCGAGGGCTCCGGACTACCGTATGCGGCCATCAATGACATCCAGGGAACATTGAATCATGAGCACGTGTTGGCAAGGGATATGGTTAAGGAGATGAATCATGAATACTGCGGTCCCGTAAAGATGGTCAACACTCCAGTGAAATATAGCGAAAGCAAGCCAGGTATACGAACAGTGCCCCCTATGCTAGGACAACATACGGATGAGATTCTTAGGGATGTCCTGGGTATGAATGAATCTGATATTCAAGCATTGAAAAGGGAAGGCGCAGTGAAATAGAAATATATAGACATCCTAGATATCGAATACCATAAATATTTCTCATTAACGTTCCCTCAAGCACAACCGCGCAAAGCATCAAGCTAAATTGAAGGAAGCGCAACTTTAACACATCACATGATTTTTGAACATGTGACTGCCAGTTTATTCATCACCAGACCACTTTTTGTACTCTCTCATAACGACATCTACAAGTACTCTGAAGGGCATCAACTTCTACACTTTCGACAGCCTGAAGCTGTGTGTCAAGGAGTTAAATCCTAATTATAATCTTTGCTGGGATCTATCAGTACGCGTGCCGACAAGTCGATATATCAATTGTTTCTGACTCTTGCTATAAGGTTCACACGGCTTTCAATTATTCAATTGATTTCGGTCAATCAATAAATTACTCTTTCAATCCTACTCATCAATTATAGATATTTATCACGCTTGTAGCGGCCGGGCAGCTCTGTTAATTCTCCCCGGCGCAAATATAATTGCCTTGGCCGAATACCAATCAACCACGACAGACATGGACGCGCCAAACCAAACTCCAGCTCCTGCAGCTGCAGCAGGAGCCAATGACACAACCATGGGCGAATCATCTCCTCCTAAATACGTCCCCCAATTCTCTGCCGCGACCGAAATGATTCTTCAGCGCATGAAAGCAGGAATAACTGGTGGGCTGTCCAGTATTGGCATTACAGGGACACCACCGGGCTACGAGGAAATGCGCAGAAACGTTATGTCGGGCATGAAAACTACACAGAATATGCAAATAAATACACCACCACCAAGATATCAAACTAGCAAAAAGCCAACGCCCAAAGCCAGTGTCACACCTAAAATTGAAACCCCAACAGGGTCTGTAAATAGTGCAGGGACAAAAAAGAGAGGGAAAGGACCAAGGGCAGGACAAAAGCGGAAAAGAGTTAAGGATGATAGTGAAAGTGCAGACGAGTCTGATGCTTTAAGTGGTGTAGGTGGGGATTCAGACTCGGATGGTTCGAACAGTGCGACTACGGAAATGCCAAAAATTACACAGAGCGGGAGACAAATAGTGAAGCCGACACAATTCGTTCCTACACTGCCCGAGACAAGCTCGAGAAAACGGTCTTCTGCGTCAGCACATAAGCGAAGCCAAAATCAAGAACAAGCCTTATGCAAGAGATGTGGGAGAGGCAATAGCCCTCAGAATAATATGATAGTTTTTTGTGACGGGTGTAATTTAGGATGGCATCAGATGTGCCATGATCCTGTGGTTTCGGAAGAAGAGGTGAAGGATGAACAAGCTCCATGGTTTTGCAATGATTGTGCGAGGAAAAGGGGTATTAAACCGGCACCATCTAAGACTGACGGTGTTAGTTGGGCCGGTAAAACAATAGATCAGGTATTCCTTAAACTTTACTTTTTTGCTCTAAACTTTGTCAGCTAACAAATTTTGTAGAGAAGGGCATATCTAGCAACACTCCCACATCCTCAGCTAGTAGAGCTTCTCGTCAAAGCTTCAGCCCTTCATCCAGATATGCCCATATTCCCTGCAAATCCTCCACCCCTCCAACCCCGCCAATCACAGAATACATCTCGCCCCACAACAAATCATGCCGCACAACCATTCCCTCCTTCTGCCACATCCACAGCAGGTCTCTTCTCTCGTGCAGAATCAAATCCCAACGCCCCAATGAACTTCATTCGTAAAGTAGCCGCTAACTCCACGGCTTCTAATATCACCCCTTCTTCAATGTTTACCTCATCATTCCCGCCAGCACCAGCTTTCGCTCATGCTTCTTCCGCTCCACCTACATTACCTCCACAAACCACGGCAAATACCGAGACAAATGGAAACACCAATGGAATGGGTAATGGACAAGATCTGTCACAGGAAAGCAGAGAGTCTACTCCAAATAGTCCACCATACCCTAAAGCTGGAACAGGCCTTATGAGTAAACTAGGTCCAGATGACGAAGATATCGAGTGGTTAGTTGATAATGAAGATTTCGAGGCTTTTAGTCATACGGTATATGATGATCATGGGGAAAAGGATGCTGGGGTTATATGAAGAACAGTTGGGTTGACTAGGTAAAATGAATCTGGAAAGCACATTAGAGAGGACTGGGTGTTTATGCACGGTTTCTTGGGTGATGAGGCTCTACGTGGATCAAAGAACGATTCCGGCTTGACTGGTGGTTGCTTGTTCAGCATTTGTTGGTGGATGCGTTGCATTTTTGTACATAAGATTCACGGTGGGTATTATCGCTAGCAAGGTGCATGTAATCTTATATCGATTATGTATGATATAATAAAATACTAATTGCTCCATCATCCATTGCAGAGACCATACTGCTTTCAATAATATCTGTTTACAAATATAGATTAACCTCGTAGGATTCTTCATATATGTACTTTAATCGCGTCACAAATCCACGTTCTCACTGCCACGAGTATTGTTTACAATCACTCAGTGATTACAGCCCAACCTGGCTTCCTCTGGAGCTTACACTACCGGCTTGGAGCCAGGTCAATAACCCTCCCTTTTGAATGTACTCCGTAATCACATACTCTAAATACATCGATCCGTTAGTCTCACATCTCATATCTCATCAAACATTTCACACACGAGAACTAATCCTCAGTATGCGAGAACATAATTTCCTCTCCGATCGCAAATATCTCAGGAGCCTTTCGAGTTTTTGCTCACACTTCTTATTCATGCAGAGTAGATGTAAATGATATAACTGCGCTTTAATTTCAAGCATATGGATTTGTTACTTGGTTTATATGGTTGCTGTTTTTAGCTACCTGTTGATGTATTATTGTCATTCAGCCAGATATTTGGAGCTAACACCCTTATTTTAGACGACACATTTAGAGGTAAATATATTAACGCGGGACCCCAGCACAATAAGTGCGGTTTATTTTGCAGATCATCATGATGATGAGCGAGGGCATTGAACCTACTGTTGAAATGCTGTGTAGTCAATTCTTCGAGATCAGAAGTATATGGGAGAATGAAAGGAATCCAAGAGTTAGAAGCGTAGACGCGAGATACCAATGATACTCGCCGGCATTGAGATGGCAATATCGAAGCGCTCAGTACTTGAAGGAAATATCAATGCTAAGTTTGGAACTGGAAATAAGCTATCTACTCCCTTAAACCATTGCAGGCTGGTTTGAAAACTAACTCCTGAAGTGCCCAACATTTACGCTTATATTATCCTAAGCACTACTGCGATTAGATGAATGATTAGAGATTATCTGCTGGAGAGAAATTGCTCGAATATTCACTGCCGTATAGCAGCCAAAACGGATACATGAGGAATAGTAACCTGATTCGGCGGATTCCGTGTCAGATAGCACCTATTGTCGTATCCACTTGCACCTCTAAGTCCTCAGCAACAGTTCCAAGTTTCCGCAATAACAAGGAGAAATAGCCGCTCAAAAAGCAAGAAAAAAAAACAAGAGAAAACTATCTCCCGATGGAGATAGAACCCGAAGACTATAATTTTTGTCTGTGGCAATATAATACCCAAGGCGATAATCCAGTTTCAGTATGCTGTCCAGTATTGCCAGCCATGGAATTATCAGGTCCCGGATATTTATTGAGGGAGGCTGTGATATTTTAAGCTATGGGTTGTTACAGATTCACAGAGAGCATATATGATACTACACCTTGGTGCCATCATTAACTGAATTCGGAAAATGTGTTGAATGGTGTAAAAGTTTTAATTTCTCTATTGGGCTTGCCGAGCAAAAACCATGAATCGATAGCAGCCTTTTCGTAGCCATAATTTCACAAAAGAATTTTATGTTAAATGCTCGCTCTCAAACCGAGATTGTGGCTTGAAGACTAGCCCGTTACCTCAGAACCCGCACTGAGTTACATCACAAATGAGATTGTGAGGACAAACCCTTCAAGAATCCCAAGACTCTCTTTACCAACTCTGGCACAACTTCTGGACTTTTTGACAAGTTATGTGTGGCGCCGGGTAGAATAGCAGAATTTTCCTCATCAACCTTTCCATCTCCCTTCTTCACAATATCAATCCATTGTTTTACTAGGGCCTTTTTGTCAATATATTTCGGAACATATTCATCGTTTCCAGAGTATAAAATGCACAACGGGCTCCTAGCGGGCAAGCTTCCAAAGTCTTTTCAGTTGCTCGTCCGTAAGATCAGAGCTGAAATAATCATCATCCCCATCATGATTTGGACTTGTTAACGAGAGCCATCTCCTTGCACACACAGGCGATGGAAAGAATCCTTCTATAGCACTAGATGGTAAAATTTCTTCACCATCACCAGCATCAACCATTTTTTGTGCTAAGGCGATGCTATTTTTCAGAACATTTGCATCCAATTCCTGTCCCAAAGCTTCACGATCGCTTACTGAAGCTTGGATAATACCTCCATCGATCGAAGTGTTTGTTTCGTGTCCGGGTCCTGTTAGGTATTCCATGACATCTTGACAACCAGTAGAATGTCCCATTAAGACAATCTTGCCGGATTTGATGGTTCGGAAATAGGCGACACATTGAGATAATTCCTGGGCATCTTTTTTGAGGGAGGAGATACCCCATCCGGTATACGCGGAACTTAAAAGAACTTGAGCAAGGCTCCAATCTGCTGGTAATGCATCTGAGATTGATGATGGATATGGTACAGTGAGTAAACCATCAGATAGACCACCAATGAAGATGACAACATTTTGAGGGTCCGAGTCTGAAGCTTTGGGTGTGTGTTCGAAAGCAGTCAGTTTAGGGGTCTGTGGTATATTAGTAAAGGTACAATTAAGAAGTATTCCATTGTCAAAAAGCCCAACAACAGCACTCAAGCTTAGATTCATGATTACTAAAGAAATAACTGTATGAATGCACATACAAATAAATGCGTGATACCTTTCCGCTGAGCAGGGGCCGTGAAGGGCATTGTGATATATTCTCCAATCTACCTTGCTTTTGGGTATCAAGAAAGGGTCAAATTAAACCCATTAAAGTATCAGTGGTGACCGCAAAATTGGGAACATTCACAATGTCGCTCTCTAAAAACACAACTGTTGGTTGATCAAGAGACCAGCCAGCCAAAAGTGGAAAGTCTGATACCCACTGCGCATATCGTTTTATCGTCAACCCTACTCTCACGTGCGCAATATTGACAGGGGTAGCAACTCAACTCAGATGAAATTTATCCCAACTTCTAAATCTCTTTCTGTCCATTTAATTCACAACAATAAGCTTTACCACCACGATCAATTTTCCTTCCCTTCTTTCATATACATAATCTTAAAATGTCACCTCATCTCCCAGCCCCATCACCACTCTTCCGCCTCCTCACACCTCTCCTCCAATCCTTCAGATCCACCACCCTCCCCTCAATTAGCTCAACATCACCCCTCAGAACCTTCACTAGCTCTCCGTCTCTACATAAAAAGAACCCTAATAGCAAAACCGACCCTCGAGTAACTCTCATCCGCTACCATCTCCAACATCCCAAGACTCCTCGCCCACTGCGTTTTTCACGTACGCGTGCGTTGAGACATTGGACTATTCATCGAGCATGGATGATATTGAGGCGGAAGCAGAGGACTGAGGAGGAGGGAGAATTATATAGGTATGTTTTACCCAGTCTAGCAAAGATTTATTTTGCAGTTTTCTTATTTTCTACAATCCAATTCCTTATTTTTCTTTTCCAACTCGAAACTCAAAAATTTATTCAATATGATGAAATATTCCGGATGTTAAACACATTATACTCCGAGAGCGCAAAACCCATGTGGAGATTTCCGTTGCCTTCCTTCTGATTGTCTATTCCCAATTCAAGCCTTGCTAGGCCTTGTCTTCAACTTACCTATCTATTTCTCATGATATCTTCCCTCAAAACACTAACACCGAGTTTTCACCAGACTTCACCAATCAATGCACAACGCCATGGAAGACCTCCGGCTACTCGAAGGCGCTGGCCAAAAAGAAGCCGGCAGACTATACCGCGTAGCACTCGAGAAGAAAGGAATTTTCGGAAAAGATGGAGTTCCAATTGAGTACGCAAGGGCACAAACCGATACGCCAGCGAAAGAACCATGGAATCATGGATGGACTAGGGGAGAAGAGTAGGCTGATATAAGATATATGACAAAAATAGCATTGCAAAGGTAAGCAACTGAGCACGCGCATTTTTTTGTTTTGGTATTGGTGGAGAGTAATATGATGATATACCTTATTCACAGACCTGTTCTGTAATCTTCTATGTGGACAAAAAAAGTACCAACTGCTGTCTGATTTCTCTTTTATCTACTATTATGTTTCTGGGATTGGTAGTGGCGCATTTTGCTAACAACTTACTAGGGTTTGTACAGTAAATATGGAGGAGAATTTTGAGAGATAAATTTCATGCAAGAGAACATGCACTATAGTATACTAAGTAGTTACTTACGATGAACTTGTTTAACGACACAAGGGTTAAACATGATTCGGGTCCAAAAACCCGATGCACTTCAGACATGCTATATGACGGGACTGAAGTTGGGAGCTAGAACCAACGATCATAATCGCGCCAAGTAAGCGCCGTGAAAGACGGAGAAGGACGTCGTTCATTAAGTCTGTACGAGGTTGCGGAAGAAAAGGTCAATTCATGTAGTAATCAGGCCACAACCACAAGCCCGCATCAGACGGCATCTGCTATGTAATCCTATGCACAAAGTCATTGTCTTTCCGTCTCCGTATCTCCATTTCTCAAATATGCATCGCGTCGCCATTCAATATCCATGTAAAAGTCCATCCATAACCATATAACCACCCCAACTAGAACCATTAAAAACCCAACGCTAATCTGCAATACAAGCAAGTGCACCAACGCATTCCCATCCACAAACAACATCAAATTATCTCTCTGGCTATTCCTTCCTAAAGGGACGTCCCAAGCCAAACCTCCTCCCCATCTTGTTCCAAGCCTTTTTCCTCGTGACTTCCGGGGTTTATGTAAATGAAATCCCAAATGAGAGGAGTAGGAGATCAAAAACAAATACAAGACTAAGGGAACCGAACCGACCTCGAAGCCCGATAGTTTTTGGGCGTATTTGTGGGAAAGAGTAAGACTGTGAAATAGAGACCGTCGTTTCGTGGTTGATCGCCGTTAAAAAGCATCATCTAGCCTGGCTACCCGATAGAGAAACAATTAAATTCGTTCGTGGAGTACATCGGTATCATTGTCAGATCAGTTCGTGTTCCCTGGCGTGTGAATCTTTTGTCAAAAGGTACAAATTGTTGTTGTCCTTTTACTGCCGTCAACATTCCTGCGGCAGGTTGAATTGCCCGTATATTTGCAACAGAAAAGGCATTTTTCGACCCCCTCGTGCATTGGTAGTAATGATTGTGAAGATGCCGCCGGTTCCGAAACCTTCCAATTATATCCTATTTCGATTTTTCCGTCTTGGTTCAGCATATCTCCATCCCCCAAACTCCGTTCACCTATCCCTACAGTACAACACAACATCCAGTACTTTCCCCTTTTTCAAATGTTAAAAGTGCGGCTCGTGTGGCCGCTTCAAAGACATCGTCAACTCCATCGCCAGTCAATGACGAGCACTCCAAGTATTTCCTTGCACCGATAGCCTTTGCAATGTCATCTGCTTCTTTCGTTCCCACAAAGTCAAGGGACTTCTTTCGCATCTCCTCTCTAGCCACGGGATCTTCTCGCAAGTCCTTTTTCAACCCAACAAGTATAATGGGAACGCCTGGACACCGCTCGTTTGCTTCTTCGACCCACTAGCCCAAAAATTAGTACTTCGTATCAACTTTTCCCCAGAAATTGCAATCCTACTTTGTGTTTGACGTTATCCAATGAATCCGGAGTGTCGATTGAAAATCCTATTAAAATGACATGGGCTTTCGAATATGCCAGTGGTCGTAATCTCTCGTAGTCTTCTTGTCCTGCTGTATCCCATAGTGCCAATTGTACAGATTTTCCGTCTACTCTGCAATCCGTCACATAATTTTCGAAAACGGTTGGAACCTAAAATAAGGGTAAGTTGTCAGCATCACCCAATTCACAAAGCTAAGGCGGAAAATTGCTGCGGACTAAACTATAACATACGTAATGCTGTATTTATTGTTAGTAAGTATGCTAAAATTCTAATTCTTGAAGAGACTTACTGTTGGGAAGTACCCAAGTGTAAACACACTAAGTAGAGAAGTTTTGCCGCAAGCACCATCTCCAATGATAACCAACTTCCTGTACTCATGTCAATATCAGGTCTTTCACGGCGCGCGTTGCGTCATTATAACAAAAACTAATGGGGACGCGCTGACATCCACCCTAAAAAAGGGTCCGTTGCTTTTGCTGATTTTAGGACCTCGGATATAGCGAGGCTGAGTAGCAACACGATCCCCCATATGCTCTCCACGATCGGAATTCCAATCCATCAAAACTTCATGGAATATGCCAACGTACCTTCGCATGACATTTTGTGCCGGTTGTTGAGTCATTATCGCAGAATCGTATGATATTGTAGATATTGTATTGTCGTTGTTGGTGGAAGAAAAAGGATATCGCGCCGAGGATTTTAGGAGAAAACCATGCAACTATGGAGGTCAAGAAACTATGCTTGAAGAGGTCAATCACAATTCCGTCAAGGTTTTTGTATGAATTCAAAGAAAGAATTATCGAAATGAGAGATTGTCAAGTAATGGAGAAATTTCAAAGCTTCAATTTTGAAGATGCTCGGATATAAGTGGTTCTCAGCTCTCAGTGGGATGGATGGACCGGTGAAAGGTAAAACGATGAATATGTACCTAGCAAATGGATCCTTGAGGAGGGAGTGTCTCAAAAAAGAATCGAGGAAGAAAATAAACACACAATGATTTTGTGAAGATGGGTATTTTTGGAGAAGAATTGAAATTATGCTTGTGTTTATCGAGGATATCTCCTTTTTAATTGTTGCGAGTAAAGTTAAAAGAAGAACCCGGGTGGAGATTTCCGAAGAGTGAGAAGGCTGAGTAGTCGGAGTCGGACCGTGCACCTCGTTTTATTTTAGAGCGAGCTCTGCGTTAGGTTTAGTAGAAGATCCGTGAGATCTACAGAGTACAGTGCAATGAGCGTCCGTTAATTAAGGTTATGCGTTTGACGGGAATTCTGGACCTGTGATGAACTTGGGAGGCAGCTAGCTGTTGACTTTGGAACGTTGCCAAATTGCAGTCAGCAAGGTTACAAACAGGTGATGTGTGCTGGAGAGCTGAATGAATTTGAGTCAAGGTGGATGGTTCACAGCTTCAGGAATCGATGTGGATGGGTAGAAGGTCATCGGTTGGTTGTACTCTGTATGCATGCTGAGTAATGCTGATGAGTAAGTGGATTCGGACGTATCTCCTTGTATGGTATGATGTATGATTTGAAGGTTAGTAGGCACAGCGAGTTCTAACATGAGAGAGAGTGATCATGAAGCAAAGATAAACCCATATGCCCTCCCTACCTATGATATCCAGAAGAGTAGAAACGTGGAGGCCATAGATAAAGAGGGGGAGCTCAAAACTTCCAAGTACATATTGGTATATACTTGATTTTCTCTTCTCTGAACTGTTTTGTGCATATGCGGTGTTGATGGGTTTCTTGCTTTATGCATCCCCAAGGTCTAGAGTTTCAGTCAGTTGCAGAACTTGACTTTGATATTTTGAAGTTACAAGGTCCTGCAAGCTAATCTATTCATAACCTTACCATAACTTGCCATAACTTGCCATAACCTTACATCCTGAGATGTTGTAATCTTACAAACGATACAAAGCATTAATACCCACTCATGATGTATTAAAAGGATCAGACTTTAAAGCGAACATAAAGAATAGGACGGGACAAAGATAAATAAGTATTAAGATTATAACCTTAATAAGAATAAAGATAAAGAATATGACAGTGGTAGTGGTAATGATAGAATCAAAATTCTTAGAAGAGACATCTAGATACTCTATACTTTAATACTAATAAGTATTTCTGACTGAAATCATTTGGCTCAAAACCGTCTGATTGAAAGTAAGCGGCTAATGGAGATGCCATCGAACTTGGAACTTGGATGTTCAAAATGATCTATTGATGCCATCCCACCAAGTACCTACAGATCTGCCGAGTATATTGATTCTATTCATAGCCTCAAGCAATATTAATGTCATTCAGTTTGATCTCCTTATGGACTTCAAGGTGCCGGATCGGTAAGATGTGGGTAGTAAGGATGTAGTCAACTTGTTGATTCTATGCCATTCTTAGAGGAGGTTCACAGATTTGATTTCTATCCCCGTCCTTAGACGGGTTTCATAGATTTGATTCTATTCCCATTCTAGGAATAGAACTGATCGTATTTATGGGCATGCTCGCAGAACCGATTTCATCCCCGTTCCTAGGCGAGCTTCACAGTTCCATCCCTTTACGTCCACGGAATTGATTCTATCCCAGTCCTTGATCATCTAGAACTAGAACTGGAACGCATCATGCTCACCAAAATGATCCCAGAATATTCTATATGCAGTTACCTCTTCAAGCATCCAACATCAACTGCAGTATCTACTATCTACTCCATACGGTCAAGGGTGACGATGACGGGAGTGGCTACTTTACAGTAGATTTGGAGATAACCCATCCAGGAATGCGTCTCGTCCTTATATACGAGGTTTGATGACTCAGCCACCTCACTTTAGATTCAATTCAATAAGCCTTCAAAGGGTACCCGTACATCAGTTTAACCTTCAAGCCCTTTAAAAACTCCCCTGCTGGATTTCCCACGGTGCCCTCTCAATAATAACAATCAGGTCAAACCTACATAGCCAAATAACTTCTTCAACTCCAAAATAATTACACGCGCCCTCTCTGAAATAATAGCCCAGCCCTCAACCCCCACACAAATCATATTATTGTTCATCCCGAAGCAAACAGACACCTTGGTGGGGCAGTCGCGAGAACTAGTTCTACAACTTTTGAGTAAGTCCGCAAAGTGATATTTGGAAATTCTTCAACAGATACCGTTTTCGTTGATGCCGCTGGTCGATCCGAATCTAAAATTACCTTGTCACTTAGCCACGGTCGTCGCTACCGGATCCCTTTACCCTACACCCCTTCGGAATGCCCGCAAACCAACGAAAGCAGACAAGCCAGTCATCATACTTGCAAAGTCCTAGAAACACTGCGATTCCGTCAATGCAGGATGCTGGAAAGTCCGTAATTGCACCCAAATCTAGTACGAGCGATTCATCCGAGACATTCCTCACTATGGCACAGACTACAACGAAATCAAATGGCCAACCGCCCACCCCTTCCGCAAACATCAATGGCGTACCTCCTACAGTAAATCGCAAGAAGCAGAAACGAAGGGCGAAACAGGCCGCTAGGGCTGCTGCAGAACAAGCACAAGGCTCCCAGACGAATGGTGGACCATCTCATGGCGATGTCAAGAAACAAATGCAGGAACTAGAAGCACGCTTCCGCGAGACTGGACTAGACGAGCAGTACGATGACGACGAACAATTAGATCCTGCGGAGGATAATGCGTATTATAGCGACGAGGAAGGTGATGCATATTCTGGCTCGTATGGTCATGATGGCTCCTCAACAAATGGCTATGCGATGCCTGCAACAAACTCCTCGAGTAAGAAACAGAAGAAGAAAAAGAAATCCAAGTCTTCGCAGTCAGACAATTCTAATTACGCACACCACGGTCCAAATGGTTCATCACATAATCACGTATCGCTACCAATTCCTCTACAGTCCCCGCCGAATATGCAGAGAGGACCGGGTATCTCGAAGGAGAAAATCTGGAATACATCATCGCAAGAAGAACGTGAGAGGATAAAGGAGTTTTGGTTATCTCTCGGAGAAGATGAGCGCAAATCATTAGTCAAGGTAGAAAAGGATGCCGTACTCAAGAAAATGAAAGAGCAGCAAAAGCATTCTTGTAGTTGTACAGTCTGTGGTCGCAAGCGCACCGCTATCGAAGAGGAACTAGAAGTACTTTACGATGCATACTATGAAGAGCTCGAGCAATATGCGAATCACCAAGGAGGTGATGGTCCTCCACCAATGATGCCACCTCCCCGTCGATTCGGCGCCATGAGCGGATTACAGCCACCCAATCGTTTACCACCAGTTTTTAGCGGGCAGCAACCATCAAGGGGTAGGATAGTAGAGCAACTTGGCGATGACGAGGATGAAGAAGGGGATGAGGAGTACAGTGAAGATGATGCGGATGAAGATGATTATAGTGATGAAGAACCCGAAGAAATCCCAAGAAGTCACGCCACAGACTTTTTTAATTTTGGTAACAGTCTCACGGTACAGGGTGGGATTCTTACCGTAGCGGATGATTTACTCAAAAATGATGGAAAGAAATTTATCGAAATGATGGAGCAACTAGCCGAGCGCCGCATGGCTCGAGAAGAAGATGCAAAAGAACAGTATGCTAATGCGAATTACGGCCACCCTCCGAATGGTTCCATGCATCCTCATTCCCACGGACACGTTCATAATCACCCACCACCGCCAGAAGAAGACGATTATGACGACGAAGAGGATGATGAAGACGAGTATGATAGCCAGGAAGAGGACTACGATGAAGAGGAGATGGTACGTGGAGGACATTATAGCTGATCATCCTGTACTAACGTAGCACAGGATTCCATGACCGAAGAACAGCGAATGGAGGAAGGACGACGGATGTTCCAGATATTCGCTGCTCGGATGTTCGAGCAAAGGGTTTTGACGGCCTACAAAGAAAAGGCTTGAACAAAGAGAGGCAGCAAAAAATCTCCTGGAGAAGAAGCGTCAAAACTCGGCGAGAAATAGAAGAAAAGAAAGCAAAGCAAAGGCTAAAGAAAAATCAAAAAGAAAAAAAAAAAAGCGCGCGCGATCAGGAACAAAGAGAACGACAGGCCGAAACAAAAAGAGCGAGAAAAGGAGAAAGAGGAACTAAGGCGCCAAGCACTGGAAGCGAAAGAGGCCAAGGAAAAGGAGGCCAAGGAACGAAGAGAGAAGCATGAGAGAGAAGCGAAAAGGAAGCGAAAGTCAAGGCTGACAAGGAAGCCAGAGAGTTACAGAAACGTGAAGAACTTGCCGCTCAGCAGGCTGCTGTTCAAGCTGCTCAATCGGCCGCGCAAGCTTCAAGACGCCCAAATCAGGTGCCTACGCCCAACTTGAGTCATGCATTAGCTTCACCTCATATTTCAGTTGCCATTCCCGCTGTTCCTAAAGCACCGACTCCCATCAAGCTTCGAACAAACTCTCAGCAAGAGAACCAATCAACTATCCCTAGAACCCCTTCCGGTAAATATCAGAGCATATCACCTAATTCCACAACTCCTTTACCGAACAGTCCTGGACCGATAGGTCCGCCTGGGAAAACACCACTACAACATCCTTTCTTACAACACCCACAAGCTACTTCTCCGATACATTCCGCGCTAAAAGGTCCCCCGGGTATTCCCCAGAGTCCATTCGCTGGTATGCAACCAATGCCTGGAGGACTTCAACCAGGATTGCCAATGGTACCCCCAGGTTTCGGACGACCGCATCATGACCCAATGTTCACTCATCAGCAACCAATGGGCAGCCAATACCGCCCTTTGCCAATTCCAAATGGAGGCATGCCGCAATTTCAACCCGGATTTAATATGCATCATATGCCACAAGGCAGAGGCTTCCCCATGCATGGCCCACCAGGATTTCCACAACCGTCTCCAAACGGAATGGCTAGTATTGGTCAGCTTTTTGGAGCCCCGAAAGAAGCACCACCTTCACAGGCTCATTCTCGAAACCAATCTGGCTCGTTTGATGGATTGTCATCGACGACGCAAGCCCAGCCTATCGCGAGACCTGCACCCATTGGAAGACCGTCTAGCATTGTTCACGGTGTCCGTCATGGCGATAAACCCAGTAACGGTGAACCTGACGAATCAAGTAAACATCTTGGTAGTAGCGCTTTACTGGATGATACTGATGAGCCTTTGAATGTTGGAATGGGCCCACGACGCTCGAGTGCAGCTCCTGGTAATTCCAGCAGGCAAAATTTCCTACCACCTCCATTTGGTATGGACCGCTCGGATCCAGCTGGCATGATGAGCTCCTTTGGTACATGGGGTGCACCGCCAAACCCATTTGGCTCCTCTTCCCTACCTGGATCCAATGGTTTTGGCGGAGGATGGAACACAAGTCTCAATATGAACAATTCATTCGGTATGCCGCCTTACTTTCGTCCGTCTCAACCGCGTTCGGTGGCTGTGAGATTGATGATCTGTATGGCTTGCCAAAACCTCCAGACTTCGACTCCAGACGGATGGTTAGATATCGACTCTATCAAGAATGAGGTTGCTCTTCTCAATCCTCCTAGGGAAGAGCCAGTTTCTGAGAGGGAACTGCTCGATATTTGTGACACCGAAGGGAACCAAATGAATGGGGGTGGCACCTTTGAGATCCGTCATTCCAATGGCAAATCCCAAATCCATTACGTTAGCGACTCCACACCTCATGACTTCCGTGCTGTCGGCGCTCCAGGTGAAATCGGAAGCCCTATCAGTGGGGGAGCATCAAGAAATCCAGGACCTCCTGGCCGAGCTCCAATTGGTGGATTTTAGTGGATATATCTAGCCTAGCTTCTTCTCGCTATCCAATTCTCATAATTTGAGCATTACACGTTCGGTATTTTGGAGCTTACTTGTGTTGTGTGCTTGTTTATTCTCATGTGGATGTAAGATTTGCATGGCTGGGCATCGACCAAACAAAAGTCCAAATGTGGCGCTCTTCATGAATTCGCTTACGTTTCTTTGTGTTTTTATTCTGCCGGTCGGTCTACTCTGGTCTCCCTTGGTTGGGAAGGAGGAATCAATCAATCAATACCTAGTGGCGTTATTACGCTGAATTATCTTTGCCTGCTTCGTAAAGAAGAGGTGAATATCGAATACCAACATTTTTTCAGTGTTCTAGTGTATATGTTCTTGCCTTGTTGTGCTTTTCGTTTGCTTCACTTGCGTGCATTTAAACCCCTAATTAGTGTATACCTACTGGTGTAGAGTGCAGTAGTTGTGAAAGTTGAAGGGTCGATATTGTGATCTTCTGAAATAATCTTTGTGCAACGTTATTTTGCTAATATGTCATATAGTATTTGCTGTCGGGACTTAGTACTATTTTTCCACCAGAATTTCGACCCAAAATTAGGTATATTTTTGTGTTTTCTCTACACACCAAACATGCCTATGCGTAGTCACTCGTGTTGGATGGGGAGATGGATTGGTGCAACAATGTTATACTCCACAATGATCAATAACCACTACTTTGAGAGGATTCACCACCATTCACCTCAGCACCTCCACTTATCTCTCCTCATCTCAAGATTACATTTTTACATACTCTTATCCATACACAATTTTTTATTAAGATAAAATAATGCATCTGGAGGTACGGATGCTGCATTATGTAAATGATCTGAAAGCTTAATCAACATGTCAATTCCTTTCGCCGTTATCGTCAACCTAATTCCAATATACTCGGCATTCTTTCATTCTTTTCTTTTCACGTAATTACTCCTCGCTCACACAATCACTATTTCATATATGAAAGCACATGAATGGGCGCTTGAGATTGATAACGAAAATGAAGAAGAGTGGCGAGGAAAGGGATCTGAGCGCTTATGTATATCTAAATTGGTATTTTGAGGCTCGAGCCTGGACCGTGGCTGCGGGAGATGCATGCGAGATTATCAGTGGGACTGGAACATGGGGCTGCAGTGACACGGGAGGGTGACCTGCGTGAACGGGAAAAAAGTGTATACTGGTTGGAGATGAGTTTGGGAAAGAAAGGCAAAGAGACAAACAAGCAAAAATGATTCACATCACCCGCAGCAGATTTATGGAGAACGTGGGGGTGGATTTGTATGGAAAATGCGTGCAATTTAAGGGTGGGTCTTTCTTTGGGATGCGTGCCTCAAGTGGAAATGGACTTTTGGTGATCAGTGGGTGGGCTAAGCTGGTGGGTGCGGGACGAAAGTTCGATGATTGGGATGGTTGTAAAAATTGGCGGTGCGTCCTCGCGGTGTGGAATATGCACGTTTTCATGACCAACTTCATTCGGCCATTACATCATTGAAATCAGAGTTTTTTCGATACTCACTATCTTTTACTGTTGAATCCGCCGTCACAGGTCCCTCTGGTCAGAGTTTCGACTAGAGATAATAGCAAAAATGGCCGGGCTGCCCTACATACCTATGCTGGAGTCTCTCGAGGTGTCAAGACGAACGCCGAAGAGTCAACAGGATCTCCGAAGCAGCACCGACCTGTCGTCTTTTATCAGGATTTACTATTCGAACAGCCCTGGAGGCATTGTATCTCCTCGCGCCGATTAATAACTTCAGGGCAAGGAATACATTTTCCATGCGGAGAACCAATTTCAACATCAACCCAATTGCGGAGACGTCTCAATTGAGTTTACTTTCTGAGACAGGATTCCCAGCTGTGCATGTACAGGAGTCAATTTCCACGTGTCTGATAACCTTACATGCTTCAAATTGTCAGAGTGGCATGCACATTCGTAAAAAGCTTCCAGAAATCCGCTTTTCAAATCCTAATGAACGGTCACCCCATACGGTTGCCTGTCAACGCTCGAACAGGGTTGTAGATCCCAAATCGAGCCCACGAACATTTGCGAATGAGGAGAGCGCAAGTGTTGCAAATCTGTGCAAATGATATTCCTGTTGTTTCGTACCAACATAATAAGAATAGATATCATTTCTTATTGTGGGTACCATGTTGGTTTCTTGGGTGATCTTTATGTGGATTTCGCTGGCCTGGGTTGTCATGGAAGAGAAGAGTGGAACGAATTGCTAAATTTAGAACAGGGAATAATTGTTGGTGTAATCATCAAATGTACGATCACATGTTTATCTTTTTCCTCTTTTTAACGAAAATCTGGGTGCCCGTCTCATTATGATGGCATTTAGGAAAGCACGGTAACCGGCCAAAGGAATACTCACGGGTCACCAAGCATTGAAACTTGTTCCTGTTTTCCCTATTTTCCTCCCGAGATGGTAGTTTTTTCAAAAGGATTGGAGGTCTGTCAGACAGGTGGCCCAATCGGAAGGCCTAGATCCTTCTGCAGGCATTTGACAAGGACTCAATATGCATGTAACCATACACCCACGTGTGAGACCGGGGTTGTAAATTGTTTCAGCGAAGAAGATAGTTGAATAGCAAATGCAAGCAAAAGATCACTGATCAGTACCAGGCAAAGGATCTTCGACTCATTTTCAAAATCGTTAGATCATGCGATTAGTGAACAACTTATGTTTACTTTTTTTCCCCGTATGCGAACAAGTGTTTACCTTACCAAGGAATTCGCAAATCATTGTCAAAGCTTTGAGTTTTTACTATTGATTCTTCAGGCGTTCCCAGCCCCTATTTGATCAATTGCGCCATTCATTTCAGCTCCCACAGATCATATCTTCAAACGAGGACTTCAAACAAATTCTTCGACAGCATTGCCCCAATACCCCATTGTCCACCTAGATATGTACGGTAAATCATCCAACCTTCACGGCGTCTACACTCCATTACCCCTGCAATCGCAAGCACAACTTTATTCCTGCAAGGCTGCGGCCCTAGGCTGTGAATGTGACATCGACTACTCCAAGGACCTGTAGCCACAGGCCAGAACATCATTACTTTCCAGCTTACGCTATGCGCTTGTCAAGAGCTTCCCTGGAAAGTAGAAAATTGAGAGTGGTGTGTCGTGGGAGTTACGAGGGTTGCATGGGGGTTGCGCCTAGGATGGGTCGGACCAATAAGGTTAGATGAAGGGGACGGATTATGGAGATGGAGATACCGGTTGTGCCTTGAAATTTGGAGGATCAGACACTTGAATTCTTCGGGCTCGATAGTGTACTTGATAGTGTCCCTGAATGAGGGTCTCCTGTTTTTTCCTCGGTCCTCCCGGGTGTTAACGACTAAGTAGCTACTTTCTGTTGAAGAATATCTATGTGAAGATTTCCCGCGGTACTTTTTTTGTGCTCTCTTTTTGCGATTTTGCGAATTATCTCATTCATCTCTTTCTACCTTTCGTGCGTTTGATTCGGATATGCTTCCAACAATATTCTCAATAGTAGGCAGGTGAATTGAGCAGAGCGAAATCTAGTGATCGACTAATGCACAAAAAGAGCGATCATTGTGATTCCTCCAAGCTCCTTTTAGTCAAAGGGATTCCAGCAATCGGACGTACGCAAAGAAATAGTCTGATTCCGGTATATAAACCATAGGACGATGGACGCACAAGCAGCCGCAGCACAATTCCCACCCGGATACCTCGAAAGTTATAGCGGTCACCCACTCTTCGCTACTTGTGTCAGTTGTATTGTGTTGGATATATTTTTTGTTTTTGTGAGGTTCCTTTCGAGATGGATGCACAATACACCGAGGGGATGGGACGACTTTCTTATGATACCCGGGTTGTTATTTTCGGTGCTGCTTGCTGCTCAGGGGCTCGGTATGTATATCACTTCACGCCTCATTGAGATGGATCCATGTCTAATCAGCATTCCTTCAAGTCGGAATACATTACTGCGGAGTAGGCCGCCACGTCGAAGCCATCGAGCTCAGCGACCCCTCACAACTCATCTCCCTCTATAAGCTCCTGATATTTTTCCCCGCAACTTACGCCATCGCCGTAACCTTTCCCAAACTATCCATTCTAGCCATGTATCTCCGCATTTTCACCGTTCCTTTCTATCGCATGGTAACCTACATCGTTATCTACATAATCGTCATTTCTTCCACCATTTTATTCATGATGATGCTCTTCCAATGCACGCCGGTGAATTATTTCTGGGATAAAACTATCCCGGGGGGAGAATGTCATTTGAATATTGAAAAACTTTTTTTATATGCTAGTTTGCCGAACATTATTTCAGATATCCTTATGTTCATGTTGCCGTTGCCGTTTGTTTTCAGGCTGAATATGACGAAGAAGATGAAGGTTGGTTTGGGCATCACGTTGCTTACCGGATCGAGGTAATTATTGACATACCATTTTCCATTCCCCAAAACCTCAAATCAGTATCTAACATGCAAAAAGTGGTCTGGTAACCTCCATCCTCCGCTTCATCGCTTTCAAACACCAATCACTTTTCCCCGACACACCCCGTGCAGCATCGAATCTCGCCCTTTATACCGTCCTCGAAACAAGCATGTATTTAATTGCTGCTTGTCTTCCCGCTTGCCGGCCTCTCTTCAACATTCTCCGTCACCCATCTCGAAATATGCAAAAGAATGAGGACCAAAAATGTGCACCTCATTCACCCTCTGTCAACACCAGAAATGTAAATGATGACATCGAATTGCAACGAACCAACGACGGACGCGGGAGTGAAAGTTGGAATTGGGTTAGGTATCATGGGTTTGGTGAAGGATTCCGAGGCATGCAAGGACGATTTAAGAGATTGGGTTCGGATGCGGGATTTATTCTAGGAAGGAGCAGAGAAACATCACCCCATTCCCCACCACCTCAATCGCAATCTCAATCGCAATCTCAATCTCAATCTCGGTCCTCGCACGTCTCTCCACCCCAGCAAGACCGCGATCCGGACCGACAATTCACCGATCAAGCCGAGGGCCGTCTGGGACTCGGACTCCACAAACTCCGTTCCGGCTCCCGAGAACGTATATTCAAACACTCTTTTCGCACGCCAGACCGCGTGCATATAGCTGATATGCACATGGGACACGTGCAACAGAGTGAGGACCCAGAGACCCCGGAATCACCTGAGAGCAAGGGCGGTTTCGCAAGAGATGGGATTAGGATCAAACAGGAATTTGATGTTTATTATGATCGGCCAGCTTTATGATGTGCGGGGGATGGGATCAAGGGGGATATTAGAGAAGGGTCTTTCAAAAGGGTGCTTCTTTCTGCGGTCGAGCATAGTGTATTAAGTATATTGGGCGTTGTTTTTTGAGATTTTTGAGATTTTTTATTGCGAGCGATGGCTTTGCCGCATGGCGTGGTGTTTGGATATACATACCTTATCTGCATTTGGTGGTTGGTGTGGTTGGTGTGCTTTGCTTTTGTGTTATATGAGGGGCTTGCGTGGGTTGCGGCGGTGCATGCATATTTTGATACCATGGTGGTGGGTGGATGGCTGGGTGGTTAGTTGTCAGTTCATACCTATATACAATAAAGTTAATGGAAATGATTAATGTGAGATTATATATCTGCTAGCTTGTTCTTGAGAGTCGTCAAATCATTGTGTGTGTTTGTAGTGAAGTGTGAAGTGTGTGAACTGGTAAGATACATCTATCTGTTAATACTTTTGTATTGCCCAAGCAACTTAGATGTAGTTGTTGGTAGACAATCTAAACAGATGTTTATTTGCTAGGTACGCCCCTATCTAGTAAGAATTCTGGAATCTACTCACCGCACACCATTCAAATTCGTGACAAAATCCCTGCAAAAATCAAATTTTCCTATATAAAATAAAATATCGAATAACTTTTTCAATGTTGAATTAAATCAAATCAAATTTTCAAATATTACAATTAACTACAAAAGGATATCGAAAAAATTTATAATTTATTTTTAATTATTTTTGTTCTAAAGTTATATCTATTTAAATTTAAAAAATATTAAAATTTCATTCGTGTAATGTTTTTTTGAACTTTTCCTCATATAAAATAAGCGATTTTTTTAAACTTTTTGGTTTTTCAATCTTAAATATATATAACTTTGAAACAAAAATAATAATAAATATTTCGTTAAATATTTATTATATTTCAATCAATTATCTATATAAATATCAATTTTCATATATTTATTTTATTATTTTATAAAGATAACAGGGGTTTAAAAATTTGAAAAAATCATTGATTTTAGTGTGATTTCGCTTAGTGTGCGGTGAGTAGATTCCAGAACTCTTACTTGATATATATAAGTTGTTGATTTATAATAAATGTAACAAGTCTTAAAAGAAGTTTAGCAATATGAAAGCGGTGACTAAATTAGGCTTAGACCATCCAATTGCCGGTGGACGTAAAATATTATTAACACGCACATCACCAGAAAAACATTCACTCCTCAAGGCTGCATGCCGCAAGCCTTAACGTTCCTCAGGAAAGTAAAAACTCTTTCCTTTGACAAAAATATATCACAACAGAACAGGAACATGAGGCTGTCGTAAAGTATGAAGTCTCTTATCAAGTCAAGACAGGTTTTTGCCTCGAGCTCTCTCCTCAATAAACCATTTCTCGCTTTCTTATACCCCCGCTTTCAACATGCGATTGTACCTGCACGACGCTCTAAGTCTACTGACTTATCTTTGAAGACATTTCAAGAGCCAGCTACGGCTCTATTGCCTTTGGATGATGCTCAAAAGCATCAAGAGCCAGCTACGGCTCTATTGCCTTTGGATGATGCTCAAAAGCATCAAGAGCCAGCTACGGCTCTATTACCTTTGGATGATGCTCAAAAACCCAAAAAAATCTCTAAACCCTATGGCGGCAAAGTGATTGTACTCTGGGACCTGGACAACAAACGACCAACCGAAGCTCCTAATCCGTACGAAGCAGCACAAAACATTCGTGCATTTGCCTCTCGCCTAGGCAAGGTAGTCAGCATCGCCGCCTTCGCCAATAAAGATGGATTGTCCTTCGTGCCGCCCGAAGTCAAAGATTCACGCAAAGACCTGGAGGAATACTACAGACTAGAACAGACAATGTTCAAAAAGTATAAAATCAAACCCGAAACGCCCTATGTATGTGGCGTGTGCGGTAATAAAAAGAAAACTCATGCGGAATTGGTCAAACATTTTGAGACGCTGCATGTAAGAGAGAGGAACAAGAAGATGAATAGAATAAACCAATTTAAGGGTGCAAAGCGGAAGAAGCTTTTGGACAGGATGTTACCCCTTGGTAAAACTAAAAAGTATATGGAGGCAGCTGTGGGAATCATCGAGCCCGCCGACAGGTATAAACTTCATAGCGAACTTAAACGCGCGGGGGTCAAAGTAAATCAAGTGTCATCGGTTCGGCAGGCTGCGGATAGAGCGTTGATGGAGTATGCAAAGTCGATGGCGAAGAAGAAGGGGAGTTCGTATGATTGGTTGATATTGATTTCAGATGATACGGATTTTAGGTCTATGGTAGAGGATGCCTCGCTGAGCAGGGGTAAAGGGACGATTGTGGTGGGGGATAGGACGAAGGGAGGAAAGAAGAAACTGGCAAGAGCGGCGTGCGCGTGGTTACCGTGGGATATGCTTGAGACGGGATGTATAAATAAGGATGTTGTTGAAAGGGCATTTGCAAATACTGGGCTGAGAAAGAAAAAAGCGAGAAGAATAAAGCAGATGAGGGAGATTTTTGGTTTGTCTGAGCAGGATGGGGATGGGGATAGTGCATCATATTCAGGCATCTCTTCCTTTGATGAAAACATCGATGATGAGGAGGATATTTTTGACCAGGATGGTAATTTTGACGAGGATGTTAATTTTGACGAGAAGAATATGTCTGACGAGAAGAATATGTTTGACGAGAAGGTTGATCTTGACGAGGAGGTTGATCTTGACGAGGAGGTTGATCTTGACGGGGAGGTTGACCTTGACGAAGAGGATATGTTTGACCACGAAGATGTTCTTGGCCTGGACGATATTTGTGACGAGGAAAAAATGCTGAGCAGGATATCTAGACGAAGATGATATTTTAGACCACGACATCTCCATCCAAGACGACTCGGAGCTCTCCGAAACCTCTGACCTAGACTCAAATTCATCTGACCTTTTCATCACTAGGTATACCGCGATGAAATTTTGTGCCCATCAAAGTGGTCTTCTTATAGTCTCTGTAGAGAACTGATCCCAAACATATAAACTATTAGAATAAGCTCTCGATAAGTTGAGTATATGAAATGTATAGTAGAATGCGTTCTTATTACTCGAGTATATTCCAATTCCACTTCTAATACCTCGACTGCACTCTTATCCATGATATCCTGGCTTTCATGACTTGAGCACTTGAGGCCCATGGAATCTTCATTGCCTTCTAACTGACTTTTACAAACCATCTTGATTTCTCCACTTGTGATCTCTTGTGAATATCGCTCTACCCTACAATATCCTATCCATCTTCTAGCCAATGAAACGACAAGGGTTTCTAGGTATGCAAAGATCCTACGGAGGACGCCGCGAAAACTGATGCGGTTTTAGGGCCTTACAGGGTTAGCACTATAATACGCTGTGATTCGACCTTTCGGATGTAGCCCTGAACATTAGTGACTAATTAGGCTCTTAAAAACCGTTCTAACCCTGTAATCTTATTCAATTAGGATTAAAATTAAATAAAATTCACCATACACTAATTTTTATAGGTTCGCTAAACGTTAGTTAGCGCTAGCTAGGTAGTCCGGGTGTAAAATTATACGCCTTTTATAGTGCCAACAGCCTGTAAAACCCTATAGTCGCATCCCTTTTCGAGGCGTCCTTCGTACAGACATGATACAACCACGGTATTGACAATTCACTTCTCTCTAATTATATTAAGATCCCACATTACATTACATCATATCACATTATATCAAGTCAAATTTGAGAGTCCTGTGATTAAAATCTATATATTTATATCATGCAAAGTGAATCGTGGATTGTGAATCGTGACCGGTACGTACCCCGCTCTTGTGTTATAATCGACATCATATTACCCAGGTAGGTAGGTATTTAAAGTAGTGGTGGTCTACCTATATAAGGTTTTCTATTCTTGTAATCTTTGAAGGACCTTGGGAAGGAGTTGGCTTCAAATTTCTTTGTGTTACAGCTTAGGAGTTTGGGTTTGGGTTGGATTGAATGTGTTTGTCTTTCTGATGGTTGAGTGGTTTGTTGAGTTGTGAGAGATTATTGGATGGATTTATTGAGGATGAGATAGGATGAGATGAGATGATAGTGAGGTATTATAACAGTGATAATGAGAATATAAAAATAAAAGTGATAATAAATAATAATAATAATAATAAAAATAAAAATATTAAAAAATATTATTATTATTATTATTATTATTATTAATTATAATATTATATAATATAATACAAAAATAATAAAATTTAAATTAAATTTAAATTTTATTTTAAAGTAAAAATAAAAATATTTTTATAATAATAATAATAAAATTAATTAATTAATTAATATTAATATAAATTTAAATTAATATTATAATAATAAAAGAATAAAAGTGATGATGTGTTACGATTTACAATTAAGATAAGGATATATTAAGAGGCAACAGTCAATGTATCCATATGAACTTAGGCCTTATTGAAAAGCAAAGCGATTTGTATACAAATTTGTATAATAATCGTTTTATATAATCTTTTCATCTTTAGCAAACTCGGATATATAATCTGATTCTAATTATATAATAAGGAGTTCTGGAAACTTCAAAAGCTTTTAAAGCTTCAGAAACTTTTTGGAGTTTTAAAGCTTTATAAAGTTTCTTTATATTCATTAATATATAATCAGAATAGTTTTATAATTTAAGAATTTTGTATTCAATTCAATTATTAATTAATTTATCTATATTCCAATTAATCTAATAATATATTCATTTTCGAATAAATAATTAGTGATTATTAGTTTTAATTTATAATTATTAATCAAACGAAACTTGAAGTAATTACTATTTCGATCAAATCATTACACTTTAAATACTATTATAGTTAAACTATATATAATATAATAACTTCCAATCAGTAATCTATTGAATCATTTCTATTTAATTTAATTAAGGTTTCTATTTAGATTATTATTATTATAGAATATAAACGAACAATTTAGATATTCATTTTTAATTTATTTTATAAAGATTATAATAAATATCAAACTTTTATTATATAAATTGATCTTTATTATATTTTTAATAAATAACTTTTTTGATTTTTATATAAAAAATTTTATAATTGATTTTCTTTTTCTATAGAATTATATTCAATTAGATTAAATTATTTTTTAATAATCTAATAATCAAGATTATTAATGATCAATTGAATGAAAATATAAAATCTGAAATTCATTGTTTCTTTTTCAATTATAAATCATTTAAATAAAGATTTGATAAAATATTTAGGAAAGTAGATCTCGATTATATAATTGAAAGAGTATTACGATAACTTAGACAAACCAGATCAATTATAATTTATACTATCAAGTTTCAATAATATATTAGATATATTATATAGAATAATAATTATCTAAAGTTACAATTTTATAAAGGATTGAAAAATATTATCAAGGATAAATTAACAAAAGTTTCGAAACTATCTAATCTTTCTGAATTAATTGAAATCTTTATTCTTATTAATAAACGATTTTATAAACGATAAATAAAGAAAAAAGGAATTATTCAGAAAAAAAAAAATTCTAAAGATTTCATTGTTAAAATAAATATCATGATATCAATGATCTAATGGAATTGAATGATATCGAATGATATTATATGAAATTAAGTAATTTAAATATTAATAAAAAGAAAAGATATAAAAAGAATAACTTATATTATATTTATAAAAAAAATGGATATATATTCTAAAATTGTTTTCAAAAGAAAAGATTATTTATTATAAAAAGCAAAAAATAGATGAAATTTGAGAACAAAAGATAGAGTTTTCGAAAAGCAAGAATCTTGAAAAGAAGTTTGAAGAAAATAAAATTATTAGAAAAAAAATTATCTTAATTCAATTTGGAGCAATTAGAGGAATTAGATATCAATAATCAAAACCCTAAAACTAATACTGAGAATAATATCAATTATAAAGAAAAATCTTTAGAAAACCTTGAATTAAAAAACGAAAAACTAATTAAAGAATTCAAAGAGAATTAATAAACAATTGAATCTTACTATTTATTTTGAGAAAATAAATTATAATATTTAATTAATTATTTAAATAAGAAATGGATATAATACTATTATAAAAAAAAGAAATCTAATTTCATTAAGAAATATAGAATTTATAATTATTTTACCTTATTAGTATTTTATATAATAATATATGATGATATTTATTGTATAATATTTAAAGAAAATATTAGAATAAATGATATTAGGAGATATATTATAAATATAGATTTTTTATTCTTTAATGAAATATAGAAATACAATAAATACAATTTAGAAATTGAAAAAGTATAAAAGATTTTATTACAAATTAGGATTTATTATATCTAATGAAGAATCGATAAAAATAATAAAGAAATATTAAATTATAATTATTATCAAAATTTCCAAATAAGATCAATAGGATTATTATTTATTATATTTTATTAAATATTAAATATAAACGAATATTAATATAAATAACTGAATCTCTTTACTAAAGAACAAACCATTAAATCATTATTGTTAAAATTCAATAATATTATAAGAATCGGATAGTTAATTATAGAAATCAAATTAAAGAATCAATAAATTAATACTTTAATTGATTTTGAAGTTATAAGTATATTCATAGATTCTAATTTTTTTAAAGAAAATAGAATTCCTATAGAATTAAAATAGGATTTCTATTAGTTGATATTATTAAAAAGAAAGAAAATTAAAATTGATAATTGGATATGTAAAGAAATCAGTATTATCGAAATGATTATATTAAACAGGTATATCGAATGAATCAAAATAGATTTAGTATTATTAGATAGATATACAATTGTTTTCGATATTTTATAAATTAAGAAATATAATCCAAATATCAATTGAATAAAAGATACTTTAACATTCGATTGTTATAATTGTGATAACGAATGATTATATGGTTCAAAGGAATAGATTTCTAGAAAGATTGGATATTATATTATAATAATAACGAATCCTTTACTAATCGATAGAATTGATGAAAAAGAAATTCCAATGTAATATAAAAGATTCATTAAACTTTTTAAAAATCTATAAAACTTAAGGGTTTTATTAGAATATAAGTTTTAGAATTATAAAATCAATTTCAAAAAAAGATTTGTATTTTTTATTAAAAAATTGAGGTTATACAACTCTAATATTATACAGATATAAAAGAAATATAGAATTAAGATTGAAAAAAAAGAATAGATTAAAAAATCTAAATCCTTTTGTATATTCAATATATTATTGATATTCAAAAAAAACGATCCAGATAATTAGTTTTGTAAAGATTATTATTAGATTAATAATAAAACAATTAGAGATGTGTATTCAATATTGAAAGTTTAAAAATTTAAGAATAAATTGAATAAAGTAGTGATTTATATGAAATTAAATTAAAGAAATGTTTTTAATTTAATACAAATAAAAAAGGATTATGAATAAAAAATAACCTTTATATTATTTTTAGGTTTATAAGAATATATAATTATATTATTCGATTTAATCAATATATCAATTATATATCAATGATAGAATAACAAAATACTTAAAGAGTTCAATTCATTTGTAATCTATTATTTGAATAATATTCTAGTTTTCTTTTAAAAAGAAAAGGAATATAAGGAATATATATTAAAAATATTCAAAGTATTCAGAAAAATAGATTCAAGATTCAAATTATCGAAATATAAGTTTGGAGTATGAAAAATAATATTCCTAAAATATATTATTCAATTAAAACAAATGAATATAAATCCTAAGAAAATAAAGAAAGTAAAAAACTGGAAACGATTTAGGAATATCAAGGATATACAATTCATATTAAGATTTATCAATTTCTATTGAATATTTATAAAAAACTTTTCGAAAATAATAGAACCTTTTATCGAAATAATCAAAAAAGGAATAACTTTTATATAGAATGAAAAAGTGAAGTAGACTTTCTAAAAAATCAAGGATAGATTTATAAGGAAATTTATCCTTTATAATTATTATAATGATTGGGAAAATATTATCGAAATAGATATCTTTAATATCTATATAATAAGAATCTATCTATAAAGAGATAATAATAGGAAATTATATTTTGTTGTTTATT